CAATAGGGTCTACGAGTAGTGGCGTTGACGCCTCTCTACTTAGAAAGAAGAGGAAGGAGAAAAGCGACGACAGGATGGGAGCCTGCAGTCGAGAGTCGAAGGAAAGGAAGGGCGGAAATGACATAGATTTCTCAATCATGTCTCCGTTGGGTATCTTTATTCTGAAATCGTTATCAATGTCAATAATACACATATCTGTGAGTGCACAGTGGCGTAATTGGATCGATTCAAACGGGGAAAGGGGAGCTTTTCCCACTTCGTGAAACATGAAAGTCGTCATGATCAACCCGGGTGCTGCTGCTTGAGAGCATGGAACAAGTGTGGGGGTTTGAAAGGCATTCCTCGCAGTGAAGGTTGGGAGTGAATTTTTGCTGAAAACCATGGATCCCGGAGGTAGAAAGACAATGCTCTCAGGGGATGAGCAGATCTGCCACGGACATCTGGGTGGACGGGAGCAGATTCTGCTTGATTGTTGTAAGCTGAACCACTGTGTGGCCAGTTGACAGTAGAGGAAAGGGTCATAGCCATTGGACATTCAAAGAGAAAGCCAAAAGCCAGACAAGGAGGGGACCAAGTTCGAACAATTACATGTTCAGAACGGCCTGGCGACCTTCCTCTGCTCACTAGTTCCAGTGACAGGATCTCTCATTTCCTTCCAGCTGACAGGGAACATCATGTTGCCAGCGTCACTGCGAGCCATGACAACACCGAGATCATTGCGTGCAGTAGTGATGTAGTAAAAGCTCTGATCGCCAAGCGAGATAACGGAGCCGCGAACGATATCGCCGACACGGAACATCTCATCCATAACGACACGGTCCTTCTCAACAGCCCGTACATCCTCTTTCCGGATAAGTGCCTGGAAGCGCAGTTCGTCGGTGCTGCTGTGGTTTTCTGGGTTGGCAGCAGATGTGAGGATGGAGGCGACATTGTCATTGTCTGAGGCCGTTGGTGATTGGCCTTGAGATTGTGCTGCTGATTCGTCGAGGACGACGAGGATAGAAACTGTAGCTTGTCGCTTCTGTACACGGGTCACTCGTGCAAGAACGATGGAGTCTACCGCGGGGAGGGTGTTATAGCGAGGTTTCGACGCGATTGAGGGTACGACGACGGGACCAGCCGGGGTTGAGCCTGCTTGGTCTTTGGAATATATCACTCGTGAAACTCTGAGGGTCGGTCTTGTTTGTGACTTCGGCTGTGCAGGGTCCGCAATCACAGGACCGGCGATGGAGGCGTAGATGAAGGATTGCTGAACGTGTGTGCCGGGACCTGCAGAATATGTGGATAAAGGGCCGAGGCGTTGCCCAGGAATAGCAATAGGTGGTAGAGAAGCCATCTTGCAAAACTGGAGTTGGGCCAATTCTGAGGTAAAAAAGGTCTGGAGTTTGCAAAGGCAGCGAGTTTTCTGGAGCTTTTTTAGGAGCTATAATACGGCCCGGGTTTAGGTTATTCCGATACCAGCTTATCCGCATCGACTACGGAGCACAGCTGTACATTCAAACACTATGAACTACATTATTCAATTACAACTTGTCAATGAAATTCTGTCTGCGGGGAATTAATTACAGAGCCTATATCTAGCATGAAATGAATAAACAATGTACGCTTCGGAACAACGGCACCGGCCCAGAAATACCATGGACATATAACAACAGAAGAGATAAAAGTCCGTATCACTCCGAATGCCCACTGACGAAGACGAATAAGTGGCTTTAATATCATCCAACTAACGGTTTTTGTACGTTGTAGGGATATAGTCTGGCAGATTAGGGAGGTCTACCCATCATAGGAAGCACGTTTTTGCGCGAAACAATCCTAACCGCGAATGGGATGATATGAATTATGCCAAATACCAACTAGTCAAGCCATCTAACATAGACTAGAAGGATATCACTCGATGGGAGTGGTGAAGCACCACTCGGTGGCAGGGTCAACCAAGGAAATGTAACGAGCCAGTGTGATATATGTGATACAAGTTGAACATCTTTGGTCTCATTTCCTTTGCCTTTGCTGATTGATCATGCGCTCGATTTCGGTGGCTGCGGGGCCAGATGCTTTAGTGCGGAGGAGTTCCAGGGTGTTAAGGTCCTTAGTCTTTTGTGCTTCTTCTCCGGCCTTCACAATCATGCCGCACTTCACCCACATCTCAATTCTCTCAGCGGGGGGCAAGTGGCTGCACTTTGGCACGAATCCCGAAGCAAGTTTTGTGTTTCCAGCACCCAAAATCTCGTTATAGAAAGGCTGTCTTGTGTGAGCGTATATTCAGTAGTTAGGATTATTGACTGTCTTACCTCCCATCCGATTGGGGATTTCTTGAGTTTAGCGATTTCCTCCAGTTCGCCCCAGTCACGCTTAGCCACCAAAGCTCTCAGTCTCAACCACCAGAAAGTTTTTTCAGGCATTTTGAATTCATTTTGGATCTTGTGTGCTCTTTTACCGTAACCACCTCGGATAAGTCTGTAGACTGTCTCGTTGACACTAAGGCCAAGGAACTCGCTGTGGTCTGCCAAGTCTTTATCCAATGCGTCTTGGGCTTTCAAAAGCTGGGAGGCCTCAGAGACTAGTTTTTGGTTAAGTACCACTGTCGGTTCCTTAGAATCAGACAAGAGGCGAGATGCTAGCTGGAGTTTTTCGGTTCGTCGTGTCAGATCTGTATCTCGTAAAGCTTCTGACAATAGTACATTAGCGCCATCAATGGGTCGATCGTCTTGGTAGAACAGGTCTTTCAGTAGCTCGATGTCATCTCCTCGTGCAGCAGTTTCAACAAGTGCGGAAGCCATTGGGCGGGTGTTGATCATTCGGAAGAAGCTTGCTAAAGGAAGCTTGCTCTTCAGATGCAGAAGCACGTAGTTCACCAAGTCATCATCACCACTCTCAATTGCCTTGTCAAGAGCAAGCTCATCTTCCTCCATATTCAAAAGCAGAGGTACTTGCTTGCCGGCCCGTGGCTCATGATTGAGCAATTGGGTAGCCAGGTGAGATCGACCCTCGTCATAAGCAGCTTGAGCGATAACCTCAAACGAGATTCCTGGCTTCCCATCGAGTCTTTGGACAATAAGCTTGCATACAGCTTCGTCATCAACGGTCGACACCTTCACCTTTTGGCTTGCCCAGTGGACATAGATTTTGTCTGCGGGAATCTGTAGGTATTCCGAAATCCTTATTGCAAGCAGATATTCATGTCGGCTGATTAAGCGTTCGATGAGTCCTTCGGGTGTGAGGCGCAGGTATTGTTCGTATGATAATGGTAGCCCGATCTTATAGTCTCTTGATGCTTTGAGAACGCGTAGCTTTTCAGTCATCTCAACAAACTCATCACTGTTGTACAGCTCGAGGACGGATTTGCCAAACGAGGCAGCTTTCAGCAGGCGCTTCTGCCAGTAGGCGTCGAATTCATGGCCTGCTGCTTTAATGCAAGTGTCAACTGCTGATGGTAAACTCGACCGGATGCGCTGAATGTTCTCATCAGCCTTGGGCGATTTTTTCTCCAGTTGCTCTACAGAATCCAGTAGTACGGAAGCGGGAGAAGACGACCCAAGACGGAATATTTCTTCGGTAACAGCTGGAAATTGTCAATGACAGTCTGCCTGTCTCCTTTTGATGTCAACTTACCTGCGACCTTATGCACGAATTCGCATGTGTCATTAGTTATGAGCCGAACCCCATCAAACTCTGGTATGACATGAACGCGGCCATCGTAGTAGTATCTAAAATGATTAGAGGCGTTCGTATATATTACACAAAAGAGACCACTTACTTTGATGCGACTCCGTTGGGCCCAACAAGATGAATTTCATCTTCCCATCCAAGGATGACAGCATCCTCGCCACACCAATTCACGGTATTTGGAGGAACCCGAGATTTTGAATCGTACTCGCTGAACTTGTTCTGGAAGTCATTGCTGACTACCCATAACCTCCCTTCTGCGGTGAAAAGTGCGACAAAGCGCCCTGTGGGGGACACACTAATGTGTTTGAATGGACCATCTTGCAGAATCTTGTCTTCTGCTTCCGTTGAGTCGATTAAAAATACGGTCTTGTCGACAGCCAACAGAACCTCAACGGATCGTGAGAGTGTATGGGCTGGTGGAATTAAAGCCCATGATGATACCTCGCCTTCAGGACAAGGTGCCAAGAGTCGCGGGCGCGGCTCATCATATTTAGACACGGCAATTAGCTGGTTATTGGACAGCAATGCAACAAGGCCTGATGACCAAAACTGGCAGGCTCTCACGCCATACTCTTCGGCGCCCTATTGAATTGTTAGTTTGTGCACAGTATAGCTAGGGTAGGCAGTCCTAAGTCTAACATTTCCGAGAGAAAAGGATGTAAACTCGCCGTCCAATCCGAAGTAGCGTCGCACTGTTCCGTCCTCAGAGACGACCAGGAGCTCTTCCTTGTCAGACCAGCCTAGTCCGCGAATAGTTGCTTGTTCCCACTGACACAATTTAGTATATTCATCATACATCAATCATAAAGTGCAAACAAACGTTTATACGATTGATTTTCCGCCCAGAGCATGAATAAATATCAATGGTGGAACGGGAGCCCTGTCCATCGCGAAGTCTGAATGTCTTACTTTCGTCGCGATAGAGCGCTGATTTTCACGTTAGTCTAGATCTTCGGTTCTCTAATAGAGACTTACCAATAGCTCCTCCGTAGGGGGCGCCCACGACAATGTAGTTCTCTAACTCGATGTCGTCCTCGAAGATGGCGTCATACACGGCGATTTTGCGATAAAAGCTGTCTCCAACTTTTTCCCAGTTTGCGAGTGGATTGGGTGGCATGACTGTAGATCTGATCACAGATGAGGCAGTGAATCCTCTCTACCTGGGTTGTTGGATGTTCCAGCTGTTGATCCGGAGAATGGGTCGCGCACGCTAGGCCCGATCGGGTGGTGTTGTGGCCTTGATTATCAGGCGGAGATTCCCCACCACAGTCCTCAACTTCTCTTGATACTTGCTCCATCTTCATTGGCCAACTTGGTCCTCTTCTTAACATATGGATTATACAGATCTTGCTGATATTGCTGATATTGCTCAACAACTATCTGACCTTGAAGTGGCCCTTTTACTATGCCTTGTTGCCCGCGAACATTGCTTGATCGAGACCACCAGCCACTGTATTAATGACCTTGCCAAAGAACTCGCCTTAGTATGTCTATGCACCCGGGATATTGGGATGGTATCTGATGAAAGACAGATTGGCTCAACTACATTCAATTACTCATACTGCATCCTTGACTGTTCAACTGCAACATCTATTGACGACGTCTTTAATGACGTTCTCACCCCGGATGCACGCGCAAACTATCGCCCATCGCGTCAGTGGTTGAACACCGAATCAGTATGTTGATATTTTGAATGCTTTTTGCTATGGATATCGTTGTATAGACTAATCAAATTAGTCAAGCAAACGTTCTTCCTATAAGAGCCTTGGGGATTACAGCAAATTAACTCCATTTTCACAACTCGGCAGTAACGTTGTCAATATTGTAGTCGCCAAAAACTTCAATTTTGTCAGCGATGATATCCAAATGCACATGCTGCAGGTATCTATTCTGACTAGCAGCTCAATGGAGCCGATGCTGATATTTGCGATAGTTAATGCGATCGAAGGAGTTGGTCACCGAGAACGGGACCCTGAGTGCGCCTGAGGACTTCCTCTTCATTCCTCTTGTGGCACGAGATTTCGATCAGCTCCGGCCATCTTTGAAACTACATCTGGTAAGTATTATTTGTGCGTGTCCGCATTTTGACTGCTTTACTTTAGCTAATGCCGCAGTAGAATGACAATCTCTTCATTTCTCATTTCCACAGCCCGGATGTTGGATATACCTATCTTGAAGAGAATGACTGGCTTTCAGATGGACAAATGTCGGCTTCCTCTGTCATTCATAATTCAAAAGGCAAGCAAACGAAGAGCGCTACAGTCAGTCCGTTGGTAAGTTTGATGATTTAGAATACGAACTGAACATAGAAATCGAATACTGGGCTCATGAACTTACAGGTGGTGGGTCAACTTCGAGAAACAAGTGCGTCGGTGAGCACGAGCGCGGAAGTCGTTCGATACATCCAGGATATCGTTGTATTTCTGCGGCTCAGTCGCGCTGTTGCAGGTGGTGTGTCTGCGAATGCAAATATTCATTTTTCTCGATTTGCACAGTGAGTTCGAATGTTTCCACCACCACCTATTACATCTAGCTTATCTTACTGGTTCTCCTCTGCAGACTTCTAGCTCCTCTGCATGGTATCGATTATTTGACTCCCTCCATCGTGGCCCTAGCCGCCAGGAAAGTCTTTCGCCATCGCATTATTGTCACTCCTCCTGGCGAAGACCGCAGTCTACAGTATGGGAGTAATTTACGTGCGGTAGCTGATATTCTCGTTGATGTGACACCGGATTCGATACTAGATGGAGTTCTGGCGCTGGAGCCGCCTTTATGAGATTATAATGCACCTGCTTAGCCATTCTAGATTACTGCATTAGATACCCAATCAATATAGATTCCCAACTTGTGTGCCTCTAATCATTTGCTTTCGGGCGAGTCACATCCTACTTTTTCAATTTCAGTATCTGTGCCTACAGTGGAACCAGCAAGACTCAAGTCAGCTTGGCGACCATGGTTTTATTTGGTCCATAAAGAAGACAGCTTGGACCCTCTAGTTCACAGATAAATCGATGCTTCTAATGCTAATTTAATGCTATACATGTAATAATCGCGCCAGCAATACACCGCTAGATATTCTATATTCAAACTCTCACCTACCAGTACTCGGCTTCAACTTCAAGAACAAGTCTGGGGGTGTATACTTCGCGTCCGTCCTTCCGTTTCCAGATTCAGTTCGACCGGGCGTTAAACATAGATCACCATGAACTGCACCAACGGGCTGTTCTCTGAATGCCTCCATGGCCTTCGAATGCCTGCGCCACTCAGACAAAACAACATCGATTTCAGTCTTGGAGTCACCGACAATAGCATCCATCTTGATGTCATTTCTGTCGTAGCCAAAGGGGTCTTCCAACTGCGAGCCTATTCCTTCAATTCCATACAATGTGAAGATAACAAGGCTAACAATTGGGATGGCCCACCATCCCATCTCATCGACCATAGCGAACGGTAAAACACAGCCAAACAGGGCGAGGACTTGCTTTTGGTGAATCCTAATTTGAGTCAGTATTTGAAATATAAAACTTAACTCGACACGCATTAGTCATGAATCTTACAGGTGAGCCACTGGGATCGGAGTCAACTTGATCGTTTCCATCTTCCCGTATGCATCAGTCAAGGTATTCAACTGAGCCTGCATCTGACTAGCGCCAGGAGCAGGATACCACCCACGTTCTTCGCCGCGCTTGATAAACCCATCAATGAAAAAGGTCAACTGGAATGGAAGGCCTAATCCCTCAGATTCATGACCCTCAAGACCCGCGGGTAACAAGTTGGCATATTCGGGGTTATAAAGGGTAGATGGATGTATGCCCAGGTCCTCATCGACGGAGTTACCAAAAACCCAAGCAGCGCCCCATTCGGCGCGTAGATGGTTTTTCACGGCGTACGGGATAGCCATGAGAATGCGGATAGTACGCTCGATATCCTCGCGCTCTGCGGCGGTGGGCGGTCCCCGCTTTGAATTGTAGCTATTTGTTGCGATCGTGCGGACGAGATTGCGCACGCATGTATTAAGTGTGTTCATTCCGTTCCGTCCGTCCCAGAATCGATTGTAGGATGTTTGGTTGCGGAAGACAAGCATCAGACCTACGACAATAGATAAAGATGGGATCTGTTTTTGATATGTTTAGTTGCTGTCTCGTCTTATTGGTTGGGGGTACATACGATAGTGCTAGGTAGACCAACAGTGTCGAATACGAAGGTATCCAAGTAAACAATCAAGGCTGTGAACAAAGCATGCAGAAGGACCGGGACTAGTATGGCGCCATGAATTGCACCTTTGATAAAGCGAAAAACAAGTGGCCATCTGCTCGATATTAGCTCATGCGGATAATTGGCATATACCGATTAGATAGCTCACCTTCTTGGCTTTGTCCGTGATGACAGCTGATGGGGATGAGTGCCACGCCGTTCATGATGACCTTGTATTGTAGTGTTTTGGCGGCTCAAGGTCGGAGTGGGCGGCTCGCTGAAATTTAACCTCATGTTTAGATTTCGACCGATACAGATCAATTTGTTGAGGCTGACTCCTATCCTTAAATCCCGGGGGATGGTGGAATTCGGCTTTGGTATCCAACCAAGCCCTGAAATCCGGGGGATATTGAACTTGGGACTAGGATGGCCGTCAACATTCCAAGGTTGAAAGCGGGCCGAACCCACTTGCCATTTCTAGCGCCGTCAATCACGTGACGGCATATATAGTTCCATACAACACTAGTATGTAGTTGGCTATGTTCATTGTAGAAATCCTAATTTATTCAACCTCTCTTGTGACAAGGCAAATACAATTGTCGGGAAAGAGTCCATTTGACTGAAGTGGAAAGAAATTATTATGAATTAATGTAGATGTAGAACGATGGAGGACTGGTGAACAAACCAATACCAGAAGCTAACAGGACTCAGACAAAAAGATAACATGAAACAAAACACCTCTCCAAGTATGTATCCTGCTATATGTTACATGATCACGACAAATGGGTTGCTAACTAAGTGCACAAAACCGGGAAGCGAAATGACTGTACAGGAAGTGGCCCTTCTGGTCGACAATTAGCTGTTGACTGAGAGAGAGGACGAGAGATTGACCAGGTGGCAAAGATCCGACCTGCCGTGGGCAGTGAGGGTGCCTCAGCAAAAGGTCAACTGAGAAATGAAGGAGGACCTTGATTCAAAGATGCCAAGTAGACTCAACCGAGAACAAAAACCCAAAGGATAGACCAATGGAAATTGCAGAAACAACACATTGCGAATGATGGACGTGCTGATCCCTTAAGTAGAGATGTAGCAGCAAAGGCCCTCAAGTAACGTATACTTTTTGGTGTGGTATGGTTCCAGTATACAAGATAGTGTGCCGGATGCGTGGTCATCGATCTAGGGCACCCGTGGACTTTCAGCTGCGGGCGACATGGAATTGTCGTATTGATCACACCATCATGGTGCTAGGTTGCTGGCTGCCATGGCCTGTCAGCAACCAGATGAGATTGTCCCCCTTGTTATAGACCAAGGTCGGGAAGTAAAGAAGGGCCCAGAAGATTAAGGTTATGACGGTCGAAACGAAGGCATTGACGACGAGTTTCTCATTGGATGTCAACACATAAAGGCCGAAGGTCACTTCGTAGCGGTAGTACGCGAGTTGCACGCGATCAGAAGCTCGTTGAAAAATGTTGCATCGTGGTTTGCGCCAAGGCGCGCTTGATTTCATGTTGGAGGAATATTTATCGAGGCATTCATTCATGGCCGCTGGGACTTGCGACATTAGAGAGGTCATGGGGTCGGAAAGGGACTCATTTTGGGTCGTCATCATGGCCATCGTAACGTTTTCGCCAATCGTACACAAGTGATAGACATCAACGTTGGCGGTAGTTTGGCTCCAGAAGTAGGCGAAAGTCGAGGGTGGGTGTGAAAGAGTCGCAAGAGAACCACGTAGGAACGCTGAAAGGTAAAAAGTCACAATTGGGGCCGGCGGGGTGGAAATATAGGAAGGGAAGGGAGGTCACGATCCAATGGGGCTGGCTACAACGGGAAAAGGCGGAAACGGAGTCGGCACCAGGCGGAAAGCAAAGAGTAGAGTCATTAGAATATACAACATGGATATATTGGACATAGATACATTGTGGCAAAAACTATCTATTCTAGACTATCCTAGCTAGCTTAGCTCAACTTGGTTCCTCAAGAGCCGGTACCTGGATCGGCTGTATGTGGAAGTATACACTCTCGGGAACTTCCAAGGAATACTCGAGGAAAAGCCAATTAGGGTTTTCCACTGCGTGTTTTTTGTGTCCAAAGAACGGTAATCATTGAATCGGAAGAATCCGGACGAACCCGGTGCCCGGTGATGAAGTCTAGATGTGCTTTAAGGAAAGCTGAAGTCAAGTCACTTCGTACAGAGTACCAAAAGAAAACCTGTTTCTCCAGTATAGACCTTCAACATGGCGGATGTCCCGGATACGGACGGCCGGATGTGGAAGGTGGTCCTCGAAAAGCGGTATCCTGTGGAGCTGGCAAACATTCTTCACCTCACGACGGAGTATGTATCCTCGTCAAATGGATATCCTGTGGGTTCGAGACCATCAGAGAGCGCGTTTTTAATTGGTTGACTATTTGGCTACTGGCATTTAATTCGACAAGCAGAAAACTAGAAAATTTTTATAGTTTCACAGGGCTAGCCCTGCCCGAGTGTAAGGCTACTTACTGATCCTTACGTCAAGCCCTGTCAGAATTCTTGCTGATCTATGAAAGTAGTAAGAAAGCCAAGAAGGGCTAAGAGTGGCAAAATTAGGAGGCGCCAACCTATAAAGCCTAACCCAACCTACTAGTCAGTTTTAGGTCCAGAGTCTAAACTCCCTAATCATTGGTCTGTCAAACCTACTAAATCGCAAAATATATGGTATGACAACTATGTATATGATTTAATTCTAGGTATTCATACAAAATATAGGGTATAAATCATGAACCAATGAAAGTGCAGCTGTATGAGGGCGAATCTGACGTCTTCACCTGATATATAACCTTGGAACCCCGAGTTCTGACAGACAAACCCTTTCAAATTTCAAATCAAACATACAGTTGGTATCGTAATGCAAATCCTAGTAATCACCTGCCCAAGCGGCAAACAATGCTCTCATCTCATCCCTCTCTTATACAATGAATCCAAATTCAAACTCCGTCTAGCAGCCCACACCCCCGAATCCGCCTCCCGTCTCCAAACCACCTACCCCGAAGCCGAAGTACAAATCTGCGACACCACCTGCCTGGCCGAATGCCGCAAGCTTCTCAGCAATGCAACCTCGGTCTACCACGTGGGCCCATCGCTCCACTCCCGGGAAATGGAAATCGGGATCAACATGATCGACGCCGCTGTCGCCGAGAGTCAAAAGCCCGACACTAGCTTCAAGCACTTTGTCTATTCCAGCGTGCTCGGCACCCAGCACCGAAACCTCATCCAACACGACCACAAGAGCCGCGTCGAAGAAAGACTGCTACTCAGTCCTCTGAACTTCACAATTCTCCAGCCGACCAATTTCATGGACGCGTACCCGGCCGCTGATCTCGCGAAGATAGAGAGCCCGTCTATCAAGTATGCCTGGAACATCTTTAACCCGCATGTGGCCAATAGTCTAGTTGCGCTCAGGGATCTGGCTGAAGCCGGGGCCCGGGTTTTGAACGAGCGGGAAGTACACTATTTCGCTCAGTATCCGCTCTGCTCGACGTTCCCGGTGTCTGATGTGGATTTTGTTGATGTCATTGGGGACTATATTGGTAAGAAGATAGAGGTTCCAACTCCGACTCTTGAAGAGGGCGCTAGCAAGGTGCTCAGGCTTTTATATGCCGGGGAAAGCGGCGTGTATAGTGGGGATCATGTAGTCTCGGATCTGAGATGGCCGGCCGCAAAGGGAGATTTACGTCCTGATATTACAAGGGACGAGGCTGAGAGGCTGGTTTTGTTTTATAATCGGCGTGGATTGAAGGGGAATCCCAGGGTTTTGAGGTGGTTGATTGGGAGGGAGCCTACGACTGTTGCTGAGTGGGTGAAGATTCAATTGGCAGGGTAGTTTTATCTCAGCTAGCTGAACTATCATAGGCAAATGCTTCATTGAGATGATCATATACTGTAAGATGAACTTTCTTGTTTCAATTGAGAAAAAAACAGGTATCGGAACTCCCGTTTCTAGTCGGGATGCCGATGTGCCGATGAAAATTTTACTCAAGCTGTCTAAATCCCCGAAATCCCCGGCATTTCCGACCGATGAGAGAAAGAAACAAAATCAGTGCTGTTATAGTTACTCCGTGAAGCTTCCACTTATTAATTTATGAATTTTGCCGCCATAGCCAAAGCCATCGAGGGAAAGAGGGGCAAGGTCAGATGAGCATCTGACATCGGACAAATTGATTACTGCATTTATTCTGCTTAACGAGAGGATTCCTATGGAGCCTCCCTCAATCTCTGCGGGCTTTCCAGCACATATTTCGTCATGCTTCCGATGTGCCACAGAATTTGTGGGCGAGCTTTATCTAACTTACAGAGAGTACGTCATGGTTCTCGGTTTGTCCTGTGGCTCTGAGACATGTGGGGTGCCAAGAACCGGCTAGAACGACTTCGAAGTGTATTCCGTATCGCAGGACCTAGCTTGACAGTTAACGCTGGAGATTGATTTATCTGCCCAGATATCTCCTGATAGCCTGGCTAGCTCTAGACCCTTTCGAGTATGGTTCCGCTTGTATCCCACGAGGTGATCCGCTAAAGGTAGAGATCTCGACCTAATAATGTAGCGAGGCAGGAAAAGCGATACGATCGAGTAGACAAGTCAATGCGAACGTGTTATTACCGAGTCATAATTAAAAACAATCCGAAGGTTAACGAAAGAATGTTCCTGGTTCATCAGATGTGCCGGGATTCAAAACAACAGTCCAGATCTTGAATGGGTATCAGTGGATTTTGGGGCAGGGGATGAAGGTAGGAGAAAACAGAACGCTGGGCCGCCGCGATGAATCAAATTAGATGGAAGAGGTAAGCACTATGGAACGATGCAAACGGTGTATATGGAGTGTGCACCCGGAGAAGCCAACGCAGACATGCTTCCTTGCAGTGGTGATATCGCAGAATGCTCAGATGATACCCACAGAAGGGTAGATGCCAAAAAGAAGGAGAAATATGTATTAAAAATGCCCAAAGCCCCCCTTTTCCAGTTATTAGGTCTACCCGAAGCGACGCATTCCAGCTCGGCCATCAAAGGCCAAAGGCCCCGAGTCATTTCGTGGAGTCATCGGGTTGTCGTCAGATGTTGGCGTGTCGGATCGGACTTGTGATTGGCGACGCGCTGGCACACTGAGTGGTTGAGTCGGTTGCCACCCGGGGATGTTGATAGTGGCGCTGCGGGCGAGGTCATCGCCATCGGTGCTGGAGTTAGGGCCTGGCGAGACTGAGCTTCGACTATCGTGGTCATCCTGTAGATGCAGGTTCTCAACATCGTTGGTCAGGTTTTCTTCAGCAGGATCTCCTAGCTGATCAGATGGTCCTTCCGTATTCGCCTCGGCGCTTGAATGCGCCTGCGTTTCATGCTGCTCGCCAGAATCATTGGCTGCCCTATATGCTGCCAGTTCCTCCTCTTGTCTGTCCTCCAACTCATTCGAGTCATCGACCTCGGCGCTGAGATCGGTGAATGCACGGCAGTTGGGGCATTGGAACATTGGGTAATCGGGGGAGTGAAGCAGACGGCTGATACATTTGTAATGCCAGACGTGCGCGCAGGCTGCCATGAACAAACACTGATAGGGCCGCTTTATTATAGTTAGTAGATGTAGGATTGGTCAGGGAAAATAGAAAAAAACGAACCAAGACAGAGCCAAGGCAAATCGAGCATTCACGACATCCCGAATAATCAGCAGTCTCGCCCTTGCCCAAGTTTTTGATAAGGCTTTCTGTGTTTTTGCTGGAATTCTTGTTAGCGTCACACGACACTCGGGACAATAGGTAAGATCGCACTTGAACTCGTTGGGCTGCTGCTGCCACGATCGATTACATTCAATCCGAATGCGAACGCATCGGAAAATCATTTCTTCTCCTCCTCGGAAGTCGATACCCAACTGCACGATATCGCCATCTTTGATGGAGTACAGACGGGACACCATATTCGGCTGGCTCAAGCGCATGTGGTTCAAAAATGTACCGGAAGAACTGCCAACATCCTTGATGTGCCACTGTCCATTCACATACAAGAACTCGCAGTGTTTCCGGCTAACGACCTTCGACTTGAACCCCACGGGAGCATCTGAAGGCTCGGTCGGGTTGGAGGACGGTACACCATCACGCTCCGAGTATCGTCCGACACGAATAACACAGCTCTCTGATGGTAGGGTCCGGGAGACTGGGACGAAAGGTAAAGAGGGTCTCGAGCTCTGGAGGGAATCTTGATAGGGGAAGAACCGAATGATCGCTTTGGTCTCCATTTTTGAAGGAATCACCTCCTCCTCTGCCGGAGCGCTGGTAGGTGCGACCGCATTGCTTTGAGCAACGGCGGGTTCTGCCGGTTCGACCGGCTCTGGGGGCGGGTTGGACTCCTGCGGGGTGGGCTCCTGCGAGTTGTTTGTAGAGGTCTCTAACGTGCGAGGTGGCGGTCGAGGGGCAGCCGAAACGCTCATCAAGCGTGCCATAGGATTGGGTTGGGTATGGTCGGTCGAGGGCGTGGAATTAGCGGACTCGGTGGATGATAGTTGGCTATTGAGGTCGCTAGCAAACCCGTAACTCGGCGCGGGCGCAGAGGTGTAACGAGAAAGAACTGGATGGTCACTTTCAGGGCATGGGGAAGCTGTGGTGGAGTTTGTCGGAGAGATGGAGTCCGGATTGGAGAACCGCCAAGGAATTCGACTGCTCAAACTGTGTCGAGCCGAGCGCTGCCCGCTAGGCGAGGAGGTCAGATTATGGGTGTAGGTTCGTAAACTGAAGCGGCGCAGGCGACTGGGGCGAGGGCAGTCAGGTAAGGAGGTGGAGGCGGTGACTGAAGTAGACATGGATTCGATTTGGCGACCATGAAAGAATATCGACAGAGAATTAAATAGTGCCCAGAGATTTCTGAAGGGTAACGTCACTGGGATCTGCAACTGGGCTGATGCTATTCAATGGTTTACCAGGACATCATATGATTAGGGTAAAGGGATGACCTTGGAACGAGAAGAGATTTCAAAGCGATGGAAAGATGGAAGAAAGGAGTGAAGGAAAAGCGAGGAGATTAGAAGAGCGAGAAAGGCAGGGTGGGATGTTTCGGCCTTCTTGATTGTATATACTGTCTTGTCTGTCGAATCTTTGGGATCTTTGCTCTTTGCCATCGGTTATTAAAGCCCTGACAGTCAGCATTTCTTGGCAGGAAGATATCTCCCCGCATAGTTAGGATATATAACGAGAGTATTTATATGAAGTATATGGAATAAGTATATGGAATAATCGAGAGCGTATAATAGCAGGATATTGATAAATTACTAAATCCGATACTAACGATATTCCCAAGTATATACTTATGCATATGTCGACTGTCATGGCTCGTCCTTACTTCATGTACCACGCATATAGGATAGCTAAGTGGTCTATGCTTTCACATAGGCAATGTACATCTCTGTAACTAGTTATGTACTCTATTCTGTACTCCCTATATATCCTATATGTGATCTATACCAAAGCAGATATCATTATGTCGAATCAACTAGAACAATAGCTGAACACCACAGGTTACAACCTTAGATCTTAGAAGATGTGGCAAATAATATATATTACCAATGAACCTGTAGGGCCTGGGCCAGTTATCTGTTTGTCTGACAATACCCTAACTATTCCTATCTACAAAGTGGCATTCCATGTGATACCTGCAAGTCAATCTCTAACCACCACCAACATGCCCTTATCCATATGTGACTCTATCTGGTGATCATCTGCGTCACTTACAAAATCACAAGAGCAAAGGTAATGCCTTCATTGGTGTATAGTGTAGCACGGACCTTGACGGGACGCTAGAAAGTACGCTTTAGACGGCAAAAGACGTTGAACCCGACTAGATAATAGCGATGTAGTGATATAAGAAGTATTTCAACATCTATAGAGTAAGAGCAGTGTCTAGAAATATGCTGTACAACTTACTATTATTAACCAGTAGTTGACTTTATATGATGCAGTTGATCTCCCTTTCCGGATTGGTCAGCCTAGAGCTTCCCCCGGGGCCGATGATGTATGTGCTGGAGCTGGTGCGTGTGGGAATGAAAATGAAAATAAAACCCATGGAAGAGATGAAAGAGGAGAACAAAAAGAAAACAAGTAGATTGACCTAGTCAATTCGATCAATCCAACCCCCAATGTATCCTCCAACACATAGAAAAGCCATTGAATTCCAAGTTTCTGCCGTAGGAGACTAGTTCGCTCCCTCTCCCCTCCCTTAATGAAACACTTGCAACTTCCTTCCTTCCAGCATCAGGAGGCTTCCCTCCTTCCTTTTTTCTCATCACGCGGCTTTTTCTTTGTGTTTCCCTCCAAAGCTTCGGCTTTATTCAACTCCCTTATTTTCACCTTCGCCGACTCGTCTTTCGCATCCCTCACACTCACTAGACCGCGCCCGATGCGGGCTTGCTAGCCAGCATGAGTGGAATCGCGAATGCCTGTCTGTCTTGCTTTTCAGCAGTGGACCAATGGTGTCATATCACAGCATGTCTCGGTCCCATCGGAGCTCGTTCTCGAGATGGTATCTACGAAACAACCCTGGCCGATAATGAGCGAGAAGCGGTATCAGATCTTCTAGGCTACTTGGAGAACGTACGTGCTCGACCGATTCATCATTCTGAACCACTATCTTCCCTTCTCTGAAGCATAGCTGGAGACTGGGTTCGCCTGGGTACCGCCCTGCACCGAGCATACCGCTGACTTCCAATTGTACAGCGCGCAGAGACCGACTTCTTCCACGGCGAGCCACTACGAGCCTTGAGTACCCTTGTTTATTCCGAAAACGTCGACCTGCAAAGAAGCGCCAGCTTGACGTTTGCTGAGATCACAGAGCGAGGTGCGTATCGCCATCTTGCTAGCAATGATGCAAGAGCTGACCTTCCGTCTTATCTACAGATGTGCGCGAGGTCGATCGCGATACCCTCGAACCTATCCTCTTTCTACTTCAAAGCTCAGATATCGAAGTTCAACGGGCTGCTAGTGCAGCGCTGGGCAATCTCGCCGTAAATTGTTGGTCACGTCCCCGTCCCGTCACCCATCACCCATCTCCTTTCCCGCTTCCCACACGGTCGCTAACTCGGTGCAGCTGAGAACAAGGTCTTGATCGTCACCCTCGGGGGCCTATCTCCCTTGATTCGCCAGATGATGTCGCCCAATGTCGAGGTACAGTGCAATGCGGTCGGATGTATAACCAATCTCGCGACCCATGAGGAGAACAAGGCCAAGATTGCTCGCTCTGGCGCTCTAGGTCCTCTCATTCGCCTGGCCAAGTCGAAGGATATGCGTGTCCAGCGAAACGCGACGGGCGCACTGCTTAACATGACTCATTCGGGTAAGTGGCTCTAGTTGATTCGTCTGGCCGTTTCTCTAACATGAAGACCAGATGACAACCGACAGCAACTTGTCAATGCCGGCGCTATTCCCGTGCTCGTGCACCTCCTCTCATCCCCCGACGTTGACGTACAGTACTACTGCACAACAGCTCTCAGCAATATCGCCGTTGACTCGACGAATCGCAAACGACTCGCCCAAACCGAGTCACGCCTCGTGCAATCATTAGTTCACCTTATGGATTCATCCACTCCGAAAGTCCAATGTCAAGCGGCGCTCGCCCTGCGCAATCTCGCCTCTGATGAGAAATACCAGCTTGAAATAGTTCGGGCGAAGGGCCTTTCTCCACTGCTACGACTCCTACAATCCTCCTACCTTCCTCTCATCTTATCCGCCGTCGCTTGTATCCGCAACATTTCTATTCATCCTCTTAACGAATCCCCCATTATCGAAGCGGGCTTCTTGAAGCCGTTGGTGGATCTCCTAGGCTCGACTGACAACGAAGAGATTCAATGTCACGCTATATCCACGCTTCGTAACCTTGCTGCTAGCTCTGATCGCAACAAAGAACTTGTCCTGCAGGCCGGAGCAGTACAAAAGTGCAAGGACTTGGTCTTGCGTGTTCCCCTAACAGTCCAATCTGAGATGACTGCTGCAATCGCTGTGCTGGCCCTCAGCGAGGAGCTGAAGCCGCATCTTCTCAACCTCGGAGTGTTTGACGTCTTGATTCCTCTGACAAACTCTGAAAGTATTGAGGTGCAAGGCAACAGCGCGGCTGCGTTGGGCAATCTGTCTTCGAAAGGTATTTCCCCTTATATTTGTGTGTCCTTATAAGCTGCTAACAAATTCGTAGTCGGCGATTATTCGATGTTCGTTCGCGACTGGGCAGACGCCAATGGTGGCATCCATGGCTACCTCCATCGCTTCCTTGCCAGTGGAGATCCCACATTCCAGCACATTGCCATCTGGACCCTCCTCCAACTGCTCGAGTCCGAAGACAAGAAGCTCATTGGATACATTTCACGATCCGAAAACATCGTGAACCTGGTCAAGGTTATCTCCGACAAGAACATCGATTCGGATGAAGAAGATATAGATGATGGTGAGGGTGAAGTCATTACGCTCGCCCGTCGCTGCCTTGAGCTGGTTGGAGCTGGTCCTAAGCAGACCCTTGTAGAAGCCTGAACCTTCTGTTTCGTCTGGTTATACCACCCTTGTTCTCACCCTTGTTCTATTTTTTTTCGGTCCCTTCTGCTGACGATGCTTCCTCGCAAACAAGGTCTTGTGTCCTTTGACTGAATCGGGATTTTCTTTTCTTCTCTCATTCTGTCGCTGAAAGCGATTATTTTCAGAACTTATATAGCGAGTAATCGATTTTTATGATAACTTAAGGGGACATAGAAATAAAGGCGTTTCGTCAACTTGACAACCTTAGATGGATAAGAAGTATGATAAGCTAGGTATTTGCACTTTCCCCTGCTCTTGTCGCACCAATCTCAACCGTGAGCAAGCTGGGACGACATCGAGACTTGCACAAGCTGGTACGTTCTTCAGATCTCACGCGGTGACCTCGCTGTACTAACCATCCGTCTTTTTACAGAAATATTCTGCATCATGGGCAAGCAGGTAAAATGGATTGTCGACTACTCGCCAGTGATCCTTGCATCCAATGCCTAAGTTGGATCAGACCCAGCTAACACTTCACCAACTGTCTCCGTGAGGGGATGTTTGTTTCATATTGCAACTATGGCGTTACCCCAGGGATCGGTATACAACACACTACCACTCACAATGGGTCGAGGACTATTGACACAAGTGGGCTGTTCAGGTGATCTCGTCGGTTTCATCAACAGTCGTAGAATCGTCAGTTGTGAGATTGGAGTCTTCAATGGTTTCAATTTGGAAGACATTCTTTGCGACAGCAATCTTGGGAGGTGCAGAATCTTCGGCCATCACATCATCATCCTCGTCATCCTCGTCGTCGTCGTCATCTTGTTGAAGAGCGTTGAACGCCATGGTTTTGCGGTTGGTGTCGTCCCAATCAGCCTAATTAAACGTGAGCACCTGTACATCACGAAACAACCATCTGTTTTCATACTCTTCGGGAGTTGACGGTCTTGCCACGAGCCATGCTTTTGGCCTTCTTGATTTCCAATTGATCCATCACGGCCTCGGCTCGGTCCATTCCCTTTTGTTGCCTTAATCGCTGGGCCCGTGAAACCTTGTCATTTTTTTTCTGCTTTTTCTGGATCCCGGAAGTCGCACGGTCAGCCAGAACCGAAGGCCTTGTTGTGTTAGGAGATTCCGCTCGTGGAAGCGAAGTCAACGACTTGTCAAGGTCGAGACTTGGGGATGCTGCTCTCCGTGCTGCGCGGGAACGCTGGGACTGGCCTGTTTCGAATATTAGATACCCAAACGTCAATGTATGCGGCATTCGTATTCAACTTACTTTTGCTCTTCGCCATGGTTGCTGTTTTGAAAAATTATCAATCTCGTGGGATGAGATCGCTATCGATAAAAAAAAGTTTACGGCAGACGAAGACGACCAAAGGCGCACCTTTTCTACGCAAACATGTAATTTGATGTCCCTTTCTACACGCGTCTTGACACTCCCACGTTCTCTGTCAATCCATGCTACTGCTCATGCTGGCAGATACCTTTTGTCACAGATATACGTCTGGCTTTATTGACAATGAACACCCGCGACGTGCGCTCTGAGATCTTTTCCAACCGCCCCGATCAGTACGCAAGTCGCAACAGTCATTATGAAACCGCCCTGACGACTTTACAAAACAATAAAGCATTAGCATACATATTTATTGCTCTTATTTCAATCTGTGTCTTTCTCGGTTACCTCGGACTTGTTCCTATATCGCTATTCCAGCTCCCCTGGGATCTCATTGTCTATTTTACACCCTCTCGAATCGTTGTCGCTTTAGACCCTCAAATATCGACCTCCAACCCCAACCCGCTAGCCTCGCCTTTGTCCTTCCAGAATAAAAGTGACGCGATGAGACGTATTCTTGGCTTAGACAACAACGTCTACTTCCCTTTCTTCTCCCGGTCAAAATCGCTCTCTATTTTCGGAAATGCGCTGCTAGGAAACACTCAGGATGCCACACCTCCGGGGCTCGGAAATTGGAACAACTCGTGTTTCCAGAACAGCATCATACAGGGATTGGCTTCTTTGAAATATCTCGCCGAGTTTCTGGGACACAACGTGGACAACCTCTCGGACAAGGCTTCCGTCTCGACGCACAGGGCACTATTAGACCTCATCGACCGTCTGAATAGCGCCTCCAAAAGTGGAACCAAGCTGTGGATCTCCGGGCCTCTCAAGTCCATGAGTAGCTGGCAACAGCAAGATGCGCAAGAGTATTTTTCCAAGTTGCTTAATCAAATTGACCTTGAAGCTGAGCGGTGTTCACGCGGAGAGACTTTGAATATGGGATTGAAGATCGCGGGACCGGATGAGAACATATTTCGAGACAGCGACTCTAATGACCCGGTGGTGTCTGAGGGGTCCGAATCGCTCTCATCGACAGATAAGATTTATCTTGATAGGGTTTCATCTTGCAATCCTCTCGAAGGCCTACTCGCTCAACGAGTTGGCTGCATGGATTGCGGATGGACTGAGGGGCTCTCGTTGATACCTTTCAATTGCCTCACTGTTCCTCTGGGCAAGAGATTCTCGTACGATGTTCGCGAATGTTTGGATCAATACATGGCGCTTGAGCCTATTGAAGGCGTGGAATGCGCCAAGTGCACGTTGTTGCGTCGACTGGAGCAGCTTATCAACTTGATCAGTGGGATTGAAGCCGATGAGAGTCGGTCAGACAGCTCCGACGAACCTCCACGATTTAATGCTGTGAAGGAGTCGGCCTACTCGCGGTTAGAGGCTGTCAAGGAAGCTTTGCACAACAATGATTTCAGCGAAAACACATTAGCGAACAAGTGCCATATTAACTCAAAGAACCGAGTCTCAACCACTAAATCTCGACAAGCCGTCATTGCACGGGCTCCCCGCTGTCTTGCTATCCATATCAACCGCAGTGTTTTCGACGAGTACACTGGCACGTTGGAGAAGAATCTCGCGGCAGTCACGTTTCCTCAGATGATTGACTTGAACAATTGGTGTCTTGGCACCCAACCTCCCAACAAGCACGGCAACAATTATGAGCGTTGGGATACAAACCCCTCTCGGTCCATGCTTCCCCAACCTGGTGAATCAATTCAAGTCCCTAGCAGACAATATCAACTACGCGCAATTATCACCCATTACGGCCGACATGAGAATGGACACTATATCTGCTATCGCAAGTATCCGACATCAGAATTTACAGCCCCGGCACCGGACGAAATTCTTCAAGCTGAGGGTGACAAGGACAAGCCCGAGCGTTGGTGGCGCCTCAGCGACGATGACGTTCAGATGGTTAGTGAAGGTCATGTGATGAGCCAAGGGGGTGCATTCATGCTGTTCTACGAAGCTATGGATGATTCCTCGCCGCGTTCGACTCGAGCTGCAACACCAGAACATGACCTAGACAGTTATACAGAGTCTACCCAGTTCGGAAGTGAAGAATCAATGCCAAAGAACAGCTCCACACCATCTACTGTCACCGACTGCGAATCTGCCTCATCCCGTGAGACCAGTATCTCGTTGCCGATGGACGACTTGATTCCTGCCGACGTGCCTGTGAAGATCTCGAACGTGATTGACACTAATGCTCAGGCGAACGATGAACTGGACTCTCCCTCTACCATTACTGCATGATCACCTTTTCTTCATACGTTTTCCCTACTTTTTGCCCGCATAGCCGTACCGGCTACTGCATCATGATACCCGATACCACGTTCCATTTGAGGCGCTGATTTGAACTCCATTGTGTTTGGGAGTATGTGTAAATTTATGTACTATTATGAGGAATCTGAACAGAATGACTTATTGAAGCAACACACTTGAATTCGATTCAGCCTGACTGTAATTCCGTAGACTCATCCACGACTCATCCACGACTCATTCATTGTGGATTGCCTCCGTCTCTTAAAAACCCAGTCAACACTCGGTGATGCAGCCTTGGGGTTCATATCCCCGCATTTAGCACGAGCACCTTGTGAAAGGCGACCCGGTATGATGGCCCGGCATCACCTCATTAAGTACCTTGGGGCCACCACAGCATAAAACTACATGAAGACTCCTTTCCTCGCCAAATTAGATTTGCAACTTACTTTTCTACATTCTCGACGAGTTCTACCAGCAAAGTACTAATTCTGACGTAAACCGAATCTGCCTCTTCCCATATCGACGCTGGAAATCGTTGAAGCTGTACTCGAGTCTGTATAGATCCCGTCGGAGATCTCCCCGGGTCCTCATTTCCTATCTGATCGTCATAGGTATGATATCGTCTCCAATATTTGATAAAGCTGGTCGTTCCTATTCTAATTGAACAGAAGTATTCTATAACATCTTCAATAATGTCTATCACCAAATCCTCACAGCCGCATGACATATTCCTCGTCAACGAGCTACTCGAGAACATTCTTCTACATACAGATATGAGAACTCTATTAACATCTGCTCAACGCGTATCTCGCGTCTGGAACCTTATGATCAAAACATCAGTCCGACTCCAAGAGTCCCTCTTCTTCAAACCCTCTAGAGAGATCCCAGATCCCTCACAGCGCCTCCGCAATCCGCTCCTAGAAGATATCCTCTGGGCCCAATTCTTCCTCAAGCAACAACAAACCTCAGAGTCGAAAATCACCGAAGTAAGCAGGTTTCCGCTGCGGGAACCCGAGCGTCGCAAGCTCAATATCTACCTGCGCAAAGACGCCAGTTGGAAACGAATGCTGCTTCAACAACCACCGACATCATCAATCGGAGTCCTTGAAATCATCAAAAGATCAGACTCGGAATTCACCAAATTATCGACCAGCCCAAACGCATTCCTACGGATGGGCGATCTCTTGAGCCTCCTCCAAGGAGGTAGCACGCTAATTCCAACCCGCAACAAATGGATAATGTGGAGCGGGCGATCCCGTATCAGGATGCCCTTGAACTTTGAATGCTGGACACCTAAATGGGTATATGAGCCAAGTACCCTGCGGCCGGTCCATGAATGGATCCCGGAAAATATAGACTGGGATAGTCTCCGGCTGGAGGTGGCATCGATGTATTTGAATGATTTCGACTGTGGTGTGGTGATTGTATCCGAACGGAGACAGGTGCTCTTCCAGGGTGAGGATCGAATTCACAGGGAGAGCAAACTTGATCGGCGACTGGAGAAAGTGTTTGGGGGGTGTCAGGTGGAGGTTGGAAGGATGCATATCAATCACTCTTGGATTCCTATCAAGGGTGTTGGTGCTGATCGGAGATGGGTTCTTAGGCCATGTTCGGCTACTCCTCTTGTTCCGATGCTGAGTGACTCGGAGGTTTCAGATTCGTCTTCTATGTCTTCGGTTTCTTTGTCTGTATAGGGGATATACTCGAGGCTCTGCACGGGCGTATATCTTGACCAGTTTGAAGAGATTTCGAATGATACTCTGCTATAGCATGCTGGTTATTGCATAGGAAAGAAATGATACAACCGAGAGTCGCCGACCGACTGTGGCCTGCCGGGGTTGTTTGTTACAAACAGCATCGCTCTTCAATTGTATGCATCATAATCACAATGACCACTTCGGGAATCATGATCAGCCTAGGTGTTAGGATACCTTGTAGTATAGGAAAGACATAGCTGAGCTTAGCTTAAGCGTCTTATGCCCCACTTCCATTCAAGAATAGTGGAGTGTTTCATGATTGCTAGCTTTGTCGGCACGAAAGAGGGCGTTGGAGAGGCAGCGAGATATTCCGAAGCGAACTATCTGGACTCCTTCGAGACCAAGCCACACATTTCATTTCCGGCAAATCCCAACAGAAGGTCCCGACCCTCATCTACAGGTGCATATTCCAAAGAGCCAAATAGGAAGGAAACACAATTCACCGCCAGTCCGTCTATCCGACCCGTGCATCGGGGATAACCAGCCAGGCAACGAATCCATGCCACTTTAGCGCGACCAGGGTTGTCACAATACTATAACGACCCTGTTCGGATATTGGCCAGCCTGTACGACCAGGATGTTTCTTTTGCTGTTGAAATCCACCGTGGCCTCTAAGCGCAGAGCGTGGATGTCAGTACCCAGCGCAGATTGAAACGTCGATGCGCCCGAAGCATTCATGCCCGGCATTGCACAGGAACAACGGCTCGACAGGACAAAGCGATTGCCAGCTAGGCCGAAGTAGGCAAGTCGAAGAATTGCAGCGAAGACGCATCATTACAATGCTAATGCAGGTTCACGGCCTACCGCAGTTTCTCGGCTTTGCACATGTGCCATTGCGATGTGTCGAAACGTTCTCGAAAATGGCAACCGGAGGTATATACTGTATAATGACGGTATCCGTTGGCGGAGACAACCCCTGGATTTCGTTTCTGGTCGATGTTCTGTTCCGTTTTGGGAATCTCAAAGCGTATATTCTACTCTGTATTGTATACGGGAAAGCGACCGTGGCGATCGCATCTTACCCGGTCGCAAATATCGGTCAAGACAGATAACCTCTCCAGGCTGTGAGTCGATACAGAATAAGCTCTGACTCGGAGAAGATAAATTGATTGGCGTCGGAAGAGAGGATGGCTGGCTTTTGTATCCAATCGCGATGGCTGCTCGAGCGGTCTCAGAGATAGACCGTCTGATCCCACAGCCATTGCAATATTGGCGTTGGTCTAGATTGGGGCGACTGTGCTATCCGTGCGGATCTTCATGCACGCACAGGGCGAGGACTAGGGAGGCGTTGATTGATATGAAAGTTGATGCTTAAGCCCCCCCGGGACAGTGCCCTAGGACAGTGGACACGTCTTACACCGTCAACCCGCCACTGCCATCACCACCCTTGTCGATCGATGCAGTCGGGACCGCGGATGGTGTCCCGGAAGGATCTGAGTTACTTCACCGTGTAGATACTCCGCAGTGCTTCCTCTCCTTCGACGATGTGCTATCTCACATTCTTCCGAATCCCCGCCAGCGGAATGTGGGTCGGATCCCCATGGGGTGGATTTGTTTTCCATGGTTCCGTGTCTTTAGTGCCCGCGTCAATGGATGAGTTGCGTCGGAATTCGTGCAGATCTGGAAATAGCATCGGCTATTAAGTCGGTGAGGGTGTCGGAACGGTTTCATTATCTTAGTGTCTATAAAAGCTCGGCTCTTTTCCGAGTTGATACGGAGTAGTGAATCAGATACTGAATCAGGAGAAATATGTACCTAGACAAGTGGATTCATCCTCTTTCTTCAGCTATTCCATGCAAGAAACCCGACCATCTGTCCTTGCGATTTTAGTTCAAGATCTTGCATGTGAACTGCATGACTGCATATGAGGTGCAGGGTATAAGCTGCAGGGAAACCCGGGAAGGGCTGGAAGGGACTAGCGTGGATCTGAGCTCCGATACACTTCTACACGGCTAGAGCTGGCCAAATTGAATGCAAATCAAGCTCCTTTCTGCATCTATTTCATACTTGAGTCCAGCCCACAACTGTGCATATAAATCTACCTGTACGGAGTAGAGCGTGTTGATCCAAGCTCGGTTTCAAAGCGGCGTAAAGACTAACCGAGGTAAATCAACAGACCGAGCTGTCGTCTCCTCGCTGAAACAGGAAATTTCTGCCCAACATACCGAGTATTCTCCGGAATTAACGTAGCTTGGGTTTGACTCAAAAGGAACACCGGAGCTCTAGCGTCCCAGTGTTCCGGCGCGGAACTATCTGTCCCCACCATGAAACCCAGGAGGCAGGTACCATGACATGCATTGGGTACCTATCGAAGCCCTGAGTGCCTGAAAAGGGGGAGATCTGAACACGACGCGCAAGACAGATCGTGGACTGCGACCCCTGACCCAGCAAGCTCTCACATACTTGGAACTATGTCTGCTCGAATATGAGTTCACGAGTGGAGAACGGAGCTCCGTAGCCGGGGCTTCGAAAGCGTTGAACCGCGAGGCTGTAGCCTGTCATGTCGATCTGAATTTGATTTCAGCTCGGTAGTCGCATCCCCGCTTGACCCCTTTCCAAGTTTTCTCTGGTTCCCCGGCGGGCCGAGACGCGGAAGTCTCAATTATGGAGTAAGCAGTTGGAACCTTGGGAGAGAGTAGGAGGCGTGGGGGGGACTCTAGTAGCGCTGCAGGGAATTAGATATGTATATTTGCCAAAGTACTCTTGCGATCAGTATGTCGGGAGTATACATCTGAAATGCCTTGGAGATGATAAGTATGAGACAGCCGATCATGCGCCCGAACGGGAGGGTGCAAATTGGTCGTCGGGACACCCAGGATCACGGATTGATCCACTTGGGCCGGGGAAGAGTGTAACATTCTTCCCCGTAGACGCGAGACTTGCAGCAAGCAAGTCATTCGGTGCATCCGACAGATCGTATAGGCATCAATGGCTGGGCGGCAATGGGCATGGCATTTCGGAGATCTCGAAAATCAGGCGTTGATAAATGGGAAATGCCTTTGTTTTAAGTGGCCTAGATATGGACGATCTAGACTCGAGACCTAATTTCTTGATTTTCGAAAAAAGGGCATCCACTAGAGCCTCGGTGTGACTGTGGGGTGCGCTCTGATTTGTGCGATATTAAACGGCCTTTTCTCGGGGCTAATTCGATCCATGGACAGGACACCGACAAGGTTACTCCGTACGAGAATACTCCATCCGGAGTAGAACGGTAGCATCAGGCACACTAGCGAGGAACTGCCTTTATCCGCTAGAGGGGAGTCCCGACGCGCCGGAAGCCCGTTGATTTCCAATCCAATCCAGTCCCTTTTCATTTAGATTCCAGGCTAAGGCTTCTAGAGGGCGACATGAGGCTTCTAGACTGAAAAACCGAATCCTCGGGCTTGAGACCTGGCCCGAATGTGGAGACACGGGGGAACTCCCTTCGACGCTTTAAAAGATAGTTCGTTGTCCCCAGGTAGAATATTCTTCAACAGTATCATCGGTGTTGACGTGTTGACGTGTTGGTGACCGCCAATCGCTAACAAACCGGATTCCTCACGCGAGTAGGGCTGCAAATTCTAATTCGGCCTGCAGCTTCCGCGACTCTTTTTTACCCTCCCCATGAAGCGGTGAATCCGAGGCTTGATCATTGGAGAATTGCCATCGGAACTGGAAAAACAATCCGATTTTATCAGACCAGATCTGAAAGGTTGTTGGGCAGCCCTTTTGGGAAATCCTCGATCTGCCGCAAGGGGGAATCGAAGCCAGTGATATCAGATATCTGATTGTCGACCTTGTATATGTACCATACATATTATCCCAATCTCTGTGTCAGACTCAGTCCCAGACAAAGCGCTAAACCGGGGATCCGATCTTTCCCCGTGTGTCAGAAATCCGATACATCTGGAATCAAAGAAAAAAAACAAAAACAAAAATCCCGATTTGGATTTATCTTGATTTATATTTATTTGGGTTGACCAGTTCCACCCGTGGACCCACCCGGCGTTCCTTCCAGGTCGATCGACAGCCCTTTGTTTGCGGAAACCTCCTTCCGCCTGATTGTTCGGATTTCTTTTTTATTTGTTTATTCCTTTTTTTCTTCTTTTTTCTTTTTGACTTTCCTATTTGGGATTTTTCTTTTATTACTTTCCCTTTTTTGGGAATTCGATTTTCTTGACTGCAAGGGTGTCGGGAAGTCTAGAAGTCTTTCCCCGGCTTTGATCTTTTTGATATCTATTTGTGTGCCCCTTCTCACCGATCATTGATAAACAACTCGCCTCGACTCTTCTTCCTTCCCTCACTTCGCCTTCCACCCTACACCCTTCACACTGTTGTCTCTCTCACCTACTGGGCCCTGGTACTGCCATCCCTTTTCAACATCTACTCATATCCGCCATCATGATTCCTATTCAGACTCGTCTCCGTGAGATGTCGCTGCCCAAGGCGGTGGCTCCTATCGCCAACACCGATCCAGCACATCCCACCTTTGCCTGGAGTGGCAGCGCCTCTTCTTCCATGTCCAGTCCTTTCGCCCCTCCACCAACTCCCATCGACTCGCTTCTCGATATCAACCCACGCAAGTCGTCTTTCTCTAGTGAGCTGGGAGCCGCATATGCATTCCCCTCCTGGCCCAACCGTCCCTCTCTGTCCAGCAACGACTCCACCGATTCCTGTGCCAGTGCCTTTCTGTCTGACGACGACCTCCTGTGGATGCCAGAGAACTCGGCCGCTGAGCGAGTCGTGGACGAGGCCCTCAACCAAGACGCCACTACCGTCTGCTCCGTGACCATGGAACAGCAACTCTTGCGCATGCGAGCCATCGCCGAGCAAGAAGACCGCGCCAACTTCCTCGCCAAGGTGGAAGCCCACGCACGAGCCACCCAGGCTCTCCGTTCCGCAAAGCAAAGCATTGTGACAGAGCGCGAGGCATCGAAGCCCAAGAAGCGCCGCGTCGCGCCCGCTCCCAAACGCCGTGCTCAGTCGGCATCCAAGGTGCTCGGTTAATAAGCTCACCGGCAGAGGCCGGTGCAGCGCAGGCGCTCTCCGAAAACCGCCACATTATCTTCACATTCATGTCATTGCCTTGCCTTATCTTTAATTTCACCCCCGCATCTCTCCGACGGTGCAGCCCCACACACGACGGTGCCTAATTTCGATTTATTTTCCCAGCCGTGGTACCCGCGAGATCGCCTCATTCGACACTGCGAATCACACTCGCAGCCACAATCTCCAAGCACAACATGCCATGGTCGATCAGCCACATGGAAGCTTCACCCCCCGGGTGGTATTTTCCCTGAATGCGACCATGCACGGGCCGACCTCGGGATCCATGCCAGGGCCCCCGCGCTTACCTAATATCTCGCTGTCGGCGCTTCTAGAAATGCCTGGGCCACCGTCACCTCCTCCGTCACGTCCGACCCTCTTGTCCTTCACACCGCTGGTTCCTTTGGCTCTCTGACTCATTTCCACTTCCACTTTCACTTTTGTTTTTCTTGTTTTTCCTGTTTTTCCCTGTTCTCTTTTCAGCGAATCCGTTATTCCCCCCATCCCACGAGGATCATGTTCTTGCATGGAGTTCCAGCGATTCAAGTCCTTTTCGGCCTACCAGGCTTGCATCCATGGCGGTGTTTCTATTTCCTTCTGATTTTTCTCGGCTCTTCATGAATCTGTCTTTCCAGCGCTTTGTTTCAGATACCCCGTCTTGTATACCCCACTATTTTCTTTTTTTTTTCTCTCGTTATCTTCCACGCTTGATATTTGAAATTTCAACAGCGCTAGTTCTCTGATCCGCTATCGGAATATTGCGCCACGTGCCATATCAAATTTGTCAATAGCCGTTTAGTACAGAGTACACTAGGAAGCCTGAACTAAGCACATTGACCAAATCCTGAAACAAGCCCAACAACCTAAAATAAACCAGACCCATTATCCAACAACACTATGTTGTATACTCCCAACGCCCTCGTACTTTTACCCTAGTCCCCGTCCCTGCCACGTTGATGTAGATGGAGCCTACTGCCCGAAATGCGCACACCCTCGAAATAGAATAATCCAACAGCGGAACGCCAGCCTTGCCCGCCTCGTGTCCCCCGCTTGAGTAACTGCCTGACCTTGGCCAACGTAGACCCCGGGACCCTAAACGGTGAGGCTGTAACAGCTTATTGTTGTCTATGTATGACACGAGGGCTGTCGTTGGAATGCAACAGTGAGATCGGGCCGCCTTTAGTAATCCACAATGGGGCGACATGGTTGACCTCATCATGGGACTTTGTGTACTCCGTAAATGTACATACATTAGTGGTTGATAATAAATAGCCCACCGGAGAATATCGTGAAGTTACGGTTGGGGTTGGGGTTGTTGCTAGGCTGTTTTTGGCCGGAGTTAGGGTCTTGCCTGGATTGCCCTCGCCATTTTTTTCTGTTGGCGGGGTTCACTAGTCGGCTGTGGTTGAATAAGGAATGTTAACCCGAAGTTGGTGTTGACTCTTGAGTAGGGATGCTAAAATAGCCCTGGTACCTATAGTACATGCTGGATTTTAGCGCTTCACTCCCTGTCTATCACAAGCATACGGAGTACATTCTATAGTATAGTTGGCGTTTCAAAGAAAGCCTCGATCCCCGCACGTAGCGCTGAGCTATTACCGTCACTCTTCTTTGTTGCCACCGTTGGTTCCTCTCTTCTGCATTTACGCTATTTGTCGTGGATGTGTTGCACCAACCCACAAGAGCAAAATATCAAGTCTGGGCATCACATTTCATGAATTTAGTCGGGCACATGCTTCAACTACTGTGTTGGTTGTTACCAACTCGAAAGAATCCCGGTAGATTGTGACTGATATCACATTCCAATGAGCGGATCATACGTATGCCTATCGGAGAAGCTTCCGTCGAGGGCAATATCATCTGATAATGATTCAACGTTGGATTGTGGTCATAATCCACTAGCATTCGAAAATCAAAGCGTGCGATACATGCAGGTCAAGGCACTGTGGATACCCATATTTGACGAAGTAGAGAGCATTCTTCAACGAGTAGTGGCCGCGTGGTGCAGTGCAGGACTTTAACAATATATCTACTCAAGATGATGTCAGAGACGTTATATGTGAGGTAACACTTGATATCTTGTCCGAAGTTCCTTTTACTTGTCTCTTTTTTATATTTTTCTTAGAAATGAGCAGTATGTGACTGTGCCGTAAAGCCGAAGAACATACAGAGCCTAGAGGCGAATATGTATAGCCCAGACCGGATATGCAGAAATCCGACGAGCATCATTAGTGTAACAGCATCATCGATATCATACTAAGGGTAGCTATGCAATTTGTAAGAGCAAACTGCATCGGGGGTGTTACTGGAAACCATGAACGGCTGAATTGGCATATAGGATCCATCCCGGTACTCACAGATTGTCACCGGTAGTATCAGGGTGTGCCAGATAGTCGAGCCTGATCTATGAATTAGCGAGGCGGGAGTTAAAGAGAGATTTAGTTACTTTAACACAAATATACATCCTAGTCACAACTCCAAAGGGATAACTTGACACTAATATTTATCCGCATGGCAGAAGCAAGGGTGAAACCGAACTTCTATATGGCCAGAGCTGGTAGTATTGAGCGGGCCAAATGTATCCATGAAGTCTTGTAATGGAGAAACGATACTTGCTACCAGAGCCTTAGTGACAGCTATTACAATATCGACTCGCATTCAAAACGACCAAAGTCGCGGTGAATCGTCCTATGTAAGAGCACGCCATTGTCGAGGTTGTCGATTGTGGTCACTTGGAGAGTGGCCAGGGTTAAAGGAAAACATTTATATATCATTGCCATATGAAAGAATTCCTAGCCTGGAAGCCTTGAGCTATCAGCACCTTAAGCTATTAGCCTATAGTCTTTCCAAGCAGATAGACAAATGGTACTATACCGTAGACTGATTGAACTTGCCAAAACTGAATGGTAGGATGTGTGTGGGAAGTGAGATATCATGGGTCAGGAGAGGAAACATGCTTCTATATTTCTTTCTAAGGTCTAAAAGTGCTCTACAGGCCGTCTATGATACTCTATTTCCTAAATGTAGTCACAAATGACCAAAATGACTATCAGCCCACTTGATTGATAACCTCACCAACACACCACTTCTCAATCGTGTTCTTCACTGCAGCCTGTAGGTTTTGCAATGTTCTTTCAGAATACCAGGCAAGGTGAGGTGTCAACACCAGATTCAAGCCCGCTGCTTCTGGACCTAACAACGGGGAATCACCTCTCCCAGCAGGTTCAGTGGCGAAAACATCTGTAGCCGCACCTGAAATAGCTCCGCACTTGAGAGCTTCAAGCAGAGCTTGCTCGTCGACAATTCCACCTCTTGCGACGTTTACCAACACGGCATGGGGAGACATAATCTGGAACTCCGCAGTAGAGATTATGTTGAGCGTCTCAGCGCTTCGTGGCAAGCACAGAACAACCACAGTCGACTTTTTCAAGCCATCTTGGAACGGGACCCGACCCGGTCGAGGAGATACACCTTTACGCTCAGCAATAATCACGTTCATCCCGAGACCCTTCGCCATGGCCTCGATTCGTTTGCCCAGCGATCCGTATCCAATGATACACAGAGTCTCATCACTACACAGCAACGGGGCCTTTCCATCAGGTGCACGAACCCGACTGAGCAAGGTGCCATGGGTCTTCCACTCAGTATCACGCGACAAGTCCGCAGGAACTGCAACTGTGGCATTATGGAGCTCCATAAACTTCCGTCGAGTGGCAAAGTAAAGCCCAATAGCGTGTTCACTCACACTGTCAATATTACAGCCGGGACAGTTGCACACAATGATTCCTCGTGCGGACGCAGCTGCTATATCGACGCAGTCTGTGCCGGTCGCCATGATCACTATAAGGCGGAGGTTGGGGGTAAATTCGGGGCTGAGGATCTCTGCCGTCAGGCGCGTGGTTGTCGTTATAATGATTGTAGCATCTTTGACGCGACTGGGCAGATCAACGAGATCGGTCCGTCGGTGGACTGCGCGGGAATGCCGCCCTGGTAGATCGAATTCGGGAATTGGGCAATGAACAGCCTCAATGGCGACGATGTGGTGTATGATGTTATTTGCGGTCATCATTATGAGAAAAAAGAGAAGATGTGGTACTGGCTTTGAAGATTTCTAATGACTTCCCCGCCGTAAATATCTCCAGCGCGATAAGAGTCATATATACACTTCCTTGCACGTGACGTGACCATTTATCTTGGAAGGCACGACAGTTCGCCACCGCAACCTGCAATCAACATACAACCACTATATACAATGGCCGCCTCACGCTCAGAGGTTAGTCCCCTTGGGTTTGCCGAAGAAGACTTTGCCGCGAAGAACTATGATCAGTTCGAGCAATGCAACTTACAAAATGACAATCTCTTCCCTATCGACAAATTCGATATACTTCGATCACGCACACCCGCAGCACCTAGGGCATACAAGCTCATCGAGCCGGCACTTCTGCTTATCTCTCGAATAATTCTTGATCGTCCCTCCACTCTCGGCTTTGCTCGACGGCGAGATACAGGTGCCCAAGACGTGTTCGTTGATAGGGAGGCAGAGCTTTGCCTCCCAGACGAAGAGATTATTGACCTAGTTAAAAAGCATATCCCAGATCTTGAACTGGATCCCGACATGAGTGCAAACTTCTCATCATATGGAGAAACAATCCTTCGCCCTGAATTACCCTCGGATATGGTAAGGTTGGACTACAGCCTTGTTCAACTATTAAAATCATAAGCTGCGACCCAATCTCAGAAAATGGCAGGGCTTCTATTACTCGCTACATCGCTAGGCCATCAGATGGCCCATATTTTGGAATTCCGCTGTATCCGTGCCTGCAAACTCCGCACTGAAGATGAACCTTTTGAAATACCACCTGGCATTATATGCCGTGAGGCCGGCACGGCCTGGGAGCTGAAATCCTTTGGTCGCCGAATTTATCCAGTCTGCCAGCCTGACGGTAGTCTGTACAACATTCAAGGCTTATGTCTTGAGATTGCATCTTGTAATTTTGACGTGATGAAGATGAACGACGATTGGATATTGAAGCTCTTTACCGAAGAGCATTGGAAGCAGGAGCAGCCGTTGAAAGCTCCTATTGACGTATTTGCTCGGTTTGCATTTTTGGAGGATGATCTTCTGGAGGACCAGGTTAGCGCCTCAATCAGAAGACAGACCCGGATGCTAGATGATGTGCAGGTTGAAACAGACAGCCTGAGCAAGAAGAGAAGGGCCCGTAGATTTCCTGTTCTTACGAACATTTGCGGGGGCAAAAAGTCGAGCCCAAGCTTGTGATGGGATTGTATGGTATCCCCTAAACTGTATTCTTATACCATCGATCAAATTGTTATGCACATGAAGAGAGTGCAGGGACCAAGCCTGGTCATTAGTCTAGTGAATGCCACTTTGAATCGCTCTATCATTTTTCAATCATCCCATCCTTAAAGAATATATACATATCATCCACTGGCACTATGCGTTCGCTCTACCTCCTCGCAACTCTGCTTCTAATCCAACATCATAGCCCCTTGCCAAACAGTTCTTCTCCTATCTCTTTAAGCAGCGGCTCCTTCTTCACGGCCTCAACCTTCATCTTTCCAATAACCGTATCTGCCACACCCATAGCGCGACAAATATCAATTAGAGGACCATCCATCGGGGCTTCGTAAACAAGAAGCCCAAGAGCAAACAACAACCCATGCAATGATTCCACGCTCTCGTTCTCGCGCGAAACGGCTTCAAGCAATGACGCGGCCAGTTCGACCTGATCTTCCTCGGACAGAGGATCGGGCTTTCCATCCAAGCGGGCGTTGTGATTGAATGAGGCAAGGTTGTACGCAAAAGAGGCGGCAACAACGCGGAGGCTCGTTTGTGAATCTAGGAGGGAGTTGGTCGCGAGACGGAGACAGGTCTCGCGGAGTGGGGATGAAGAAGAGGTGAGTTGTTCTGGGTATAGAGGGGTGCTGAAGAGATTGCAGGCTAGTTGGAGAGCCACGATGCGGAGATTGTATGGACATGAGGATAGATCCTCTTGGGATAGCGGTGCAAGGAGGGTGAGGAGGGTTGCGTGTTGGGCTTCTTCGGCGAAGTAGCCACTTGCACGTGGGTCAAGCAGAAGAAGGCGAACTAGATCAACCACGGCAAAATGACTGCCACTGGGAAGCATCGGGTACATGGAGGTCAATGTTGTGGCAAATGTATGCAAATCAGGGACCCTGATATCGGCGACAGGTTCGGTGGTTGAGTGACGCTGCTTCACAAATTCAATAACCTCCGCGACACCGTGGCCTTCCTTGAACGCGTCAGGAAGTTTTTGAAGGAGCTTTTCGAGTGGTGGAACCTTCTTATACATGACGAAGGTTGTAATCTCTCGCTGAAGACTGGGAAGTCGCAGTTGGCGATGGGGATGGGCCGGGTATGCCATCTCTAACAACATACGAACATTTCCCACTAGCTTAGCCGGGGTTGCACCGCTCCATTGATCCTGCTTTTGGCCCTTCAAAAATGTCATAAAGGTAGGAGTCGACCTCACGCTGTACCTCGTGGCAACATCGCGAGCTGCGCCGACGTCGACTTTGATGAGAGTACCTCGCTCACCCACTTCCGCTGCGAGCTGGTCATATGTTGGGTAAACAGCCTTACAGGGCGGACAAGTTGACGATGTGAAGAAAATAACGGCGCAGGAATGGGAAGCACTGGACAGCTCACTTTGCAGCTGACTGAGATTGCTCACAATGCGGACTGTGCCCGTTCCTGGATGTGCCACCGGCTGAGGTGTAGGAGGGACAGCCCTCGCAGTAGTTGCTTGAGCACTTGGCCCAGGGGCAGGACCTGTCCCGGTGCCTTGAGTGACGCCTTTAAGAGCCGCCTCGATTTGAGGTTTCATCATTTGCCCAAATGGAGTTTCCAGGAAAGTGCGAGGCAGATTGATAATGTGGTCCGGGATACTTTTACCGACAAGGAACATTGCAAGGTCTTGAGTGAAGTTATTGCAGTTATGAAGAAAAAGGTCGTATGACTAGAACTGATTAGCTATAGTTCCGTTGCTGAATTGTTAATGAACGAACCTCGGGTGTATAAATGGTCGCCAACGAGCCCAGGTATTCTTCGATAACCTCATTTGGAAGCTCAGTAGTACCTAGCTTCACGACCTCCATGGGCTGTCCATGATGTGTACTCCCTGGAGTAGCGGTCTGAATACCCTGACCGAAGTAATACTCGATTCCGTTAAGGACAATAGATGTATGATAAATGGCATCCATTTGTATCCCTGTCAAGGCAAGGGAGTACTGTACAAATTAGAGGTTGCTCGCTTTCAATAACGCCTTGAACATACCATTCGGGCCATACCCTATGTTCAAGATTAGTTGGTATTTACCACATGTAGAACTGGAAAACTTACCTTTGAAAGGTCGTAGACATATAGTGAGACATCCATGATGAAGTGCGTGTAGAATAGAACCTTTGAAGTGAAAGTCGAGAAAAGGAGCCCTTGAAGTGCGACCTGGACAGGCTCCAATCCGATAACGTCAGCACCGGCACCCCTGGAGGCTGCTATCACCTTCGATCGTGTTCTATAACATTTTCTACGGATGTGATGTTTGATGTTTGATATTCTTACTTTGGCAAAATGGAATGTGGTGTTGTAAATTGACGCGCTCTCATTTCTCACTAGGTATATACTGCCTCCAGGGGTCTCGATAATACGTTGCGCAACTTCAGAATCCAATAAAGGTATGGATACACTAGATCAGGAGAGGAATAATGAATTTGAAGCTTTCATATGCTTTAAATGTTTTCAATATTCCAATAATCATTTATACGCATAATTGTGTATAATAAAGCTGTTGAAGCTGGCGGCATCGCATACATCATTTCCCAATCGCCGCTCTCCCCACCTTCGTCACCTCCAGGGCCAGATACTCATTCTGTCCATGCCAACACCCTTGTAAAGCCACAAGCACAAGTTCTGTTAGTGATATCTACATGGTAAGACATCCGGGATATCCTCAATACCCAACCAAACCTGACTCCCTCGCAGCCTCCTAAAAAGCGCGGAGACGCAGCCAGCTCCTCCGCACCGGCAGCGCCAAAGCGCGGACGCGCATCCAAGCTCGCCAAGGAGAACAACATCACCGGCGAAGAGGAAAACGAAATCAAAGAAGTCTTTCACCTATTCTCCGACAAGAACGCAGACTTCCCAGACGAGAAGGAGGGAGTCATTCCCCGCGAAGATGTGCGCAAGGCACTGGTGTAAGCTCTGCTAGCTCTCTCCCTCCAATCTACCTACAACCCGACGCTCTCTTCCTCAAGCCCTTACTCTTCAACTACAATTACCAAATACTAACAACTTCCCCCTCAACAGCGCCCTCGGCCTCCCTCCTACAGACTCAACCGAACTCGCAGAAATCCTCTCCGCCCTCGATCCAACCCTAACCGGATACGTGCCCTACAGCCCCTTTGTCTCAATAGCAGCAGCCAAGCTGCGCTCGCGCGATGATGACGCCATGGCTGCCGAGGTCGACGATGCGTACCAGCTATTCACGCGCGGCACGAATGGCCCTATTACACTGTCGCATCTGCGGCGCATTGCGCGCGAGTTGAAGGAGGACAGTGTGGGCGATGACATACTCAAGGATATGATTCTTGAAGGGAATGGGGGTGCTGGGTTGAGTGCCGGTGTTACTTTAGAGCAGTTTCATGATGTCATGACTAGAGCTGGTGTGTTTTAGAAGTGGGGGAATTTGTGTAGACTTTTTGATAGATATAAGGGTTGGGTTCGGCGTTTGGCATAGCATATTCTTTTAGCAGGGAGTCTGAGGGGTTGATACTTTGAAGGGATCCCAAGGTTGTTCGAAAATCGATTATCATTTGTAATGTCCCATTGTGAGTGTAAGTACATACTTTCCTCCACCAGCTTCTGCGAAAGACAGGAAAGAATTAAGCCTGCTGGTACTAACAAAAAAAAAAAAGAGTAGAGAAACACAGCCAGTGGAAAAAAATAATCAGAGCAGGAGCACAGAAGGAGATATGACCCGCGCATCAACCATAAAGAACTCCCAAGAATTGCGAAACTTGTATCGTGCCAGAGCCGTGATGGAGGAATGAAAGCAAAAGTCGAACCGTTTAGGAGATTTCGTCAGCCATGCCGATGTCCTGGCTGGCGCTGGCCTGGGGGACAGTGCCGTTGACAGGAGCAGTGCCTTCGGCAGGGGGCGCATCGTTGGTGAAGTAATCAATCATCTCAGCATCAAGCTCCTCGACAGTCTTGGGCTTTCCGCGGCCGGCGTTGCGGCCACGAGGGCGAGCAGGGCCCTTTCCACGACGGTTTGTCTTCTCAGTAGGGGTCTTGGTTTCCTTGGCCTTGGGGGCAGCGGCGGACTTGGGCCGAGCCTTCTGACTGTGAATGAATAAGCATATGGATGCGGACAGCTAGAATGAACATCAACTTACGCAATGCGCTCAGTAAGAGGCTTGGAGGCAGGGATAACAGGAACGTGAGAAGCATCATAGACAACTTCGATCTGTTATATAGGTCAGTCAATGTTGCAGTGAAGGCTAGCCAGAGAAAAAGGATTTACCTTCATGGGGCGGCCATCGACGAGGAGTCCGTTGAGCTCCTTGGTAGCCTTGGCAGCAGTGTCAGCCCTGTTAAATTGGATGGAGGCGATGCCACGGCTAGTGCCATTCTGGTTGTAGGTGAGCATGACGCGCCTAACGGGGCCAGCAGACTTGTTGAAGTATTCCTATAGCGCAAACGAAGACGATTAGTATTTTCGTCAGACAATTTCAGTGAGCGCGGTTCTCGAGTGGTGGCGGCGCAAACGAGGACGGCCAAAGGTGAGAGAGCATCAGCGAGCACACAGCATCAATCCATCGTCTGTTTCATCCTGGCATTGGACCACGGAGCATATAGCTCCTTAATTGCAACCCCATGCGATAGGTCGCAAATTTGCTTCCCGCAATGGAACATAACACACCAACAAATATCCATAGTATCAAGTCTCCACTTCATCCATACATCCATCAAGCGGTCCTTCAACAAAAGCATTCTTTCACGTCGCCGACATCATGGCATAGTTTTCCAACTAAAATCCATTTGTCCATGAATGTGTCATCCCAACAACGTAGTGCCATGTCAGACACAGTTTAAACTTCTCCGAGTCACTGGAATAGGTAATCACCCCATAGCAGCAGAACTCTTTACGGAGAGATTTGAGACAAGAGTCTCGAATAGGTAGGTTTCAGTCTGCCCTCTGAACCTGTTGACCACTATTCCACTGATGCGCTCGCTGATGCCCGTAGGATTTCAAAGTAGAAGAGATGAAGGAAATGAGCAGAATTGAAGAGAGGTCAGGATGATGAATTTTCATCAATCATCCTCGGCATAGTACTCAGATAACAAGGCAGGTGGATTTCCGCATGGGAATTGACACGAGCAATGTACATCTTTTCACCGTACTACAACACAGTTTGACTTCTTGTCTCGCAGAGCGCCAGCAATGTGTATATATTTGCAGAGACATGGAGAAGGAGCAAACTGTGTGTGCCGTCCATCGAGGAATATCCATCGATGTGGGAGGTAGAGAGAAGTCGAGAGACCGGTCGAAATCGTTTGCGCCGCGAGTCTCGAGAAAAGAGATGGCGATGAAAGCCAATATGAGAGCCTTTAGATCAACATACCTTGACATTGGCCTCGGACACATCGGAAGGCTGAGGAGGTTAGCGACAAGCTGAAACATCAATGAGTAAGAACTTACCAATCCGCTGACAAGAATCTTGCTGGATCCAGTCTGGGCGACAGGGGCCGGGTGAGCAGGCTTAGGAGTCGCCTTGGTAGACTTCTTCACACCTCCAACGGTGGGTGCCTTGGTCGCTGCGCGGCGGGAACCACCACGGCGACGAGCAGTGTGGCGAGCGGTCTGGCGACGGCTGCCGACGAGATCGTCAAGAGATTTATCAAGGTTGGCAGACATGGCTGTGATGGGATAGCAAAGCTGGCGATTTGCAAGTTCAGCAAAAGTTACTGAATGAACGTGTCGTGAATGATATGGCGACCTAGGATTTTAAGTCGCTTTAGAAAGAAGTTGAGGGCACGGTGGGGTCACGTGGGTTCTCGGAATAGGATGAAGCAGGTATGTTTATGGAGTTGAAAATGATGAATCGTGAAGGGAGGAAGGGACGAGAGGGTGAGGAGAGGGGGCAGGTTGTAGCCTGATTTTGCACTAAACCCCTTTTGGCGCGGCCCAATGCGAATAACATCAGCCACTTTGATTGGACGAATGCTACGGAGCCCCAATGAGTATGTACTTATCATCTTTGTCCCTTCTTTGGTCTGTTATACGTGAGATCAATATCTCCCAAAACAAGCAGAAATCCATTATGTGCAGGTCCAGCCTTAGAGATTAGACTATGGAAAAACAACGCACCCAACTCCAAAGGCAAGAAGTCATGAAGTAGACGACCGATAATAAAAAGAAAGACCAACGTCCTGAGTTCACAATATGTACTAGCTCTTGAGAGCTTCCAACCGGCCTCGCATCTGCGCGAGAGTGGCTTCTTGGTCTTCGAATTCCTCCTCGGCTTGTGGGGATTCCGGCTCCGAGATTTTGGCCACAGGTGTGGTCGTGACGGGCTGCGCCTGGGCGAGTTTGCCCTGCAAAACTTCCTGCAGGATCTTCTCGATCTCTGATTCTGCTTCCCCTTCCTCATCTTCAAAGACAGAAGGGTCCATGGTAGCATCATCGACCATCTCTTCGATAATACCTGCCCTAACTAATTCTGAAGACAGTTGGTGCATGGTCGCAGACAATTGAGGCAGGCGGACCAGGGTGTTCACATCCTTCATGATCCCAGTTGACTTTTGCAGACTGCCCTGGATTTTGCGCGCGGAGAAGGCTTCATTGACCTGCATTCCCACACTCTGCAGTTGGGCTCGGCTGGTATTCAACCGTGTGGTCTGTTTCCGGATGCGCACCAGCTCCCTTGCAAAGACTTTGGTGTCATTGTTGGCTTGCTTGGCCTGGGATGGATTTCGCTGAGCCCGTTTAGAGGCATTGACAATGTACTGGCGAGTCTGGCTGTCGCTGGCTTTTAGCCGGGCTAGATCGCGGTCGAGTTGCCGTGTATTTGTGCGTATTAAAGCATTGCATTTTCTCATCTAATAGATCATCTTTCATTAGTGTCATATTTCCAGGCATGAGCCACACTAACTGCCTACCTGGGCTTGCGGGTCGGGCCCAAAGAACACCGCCTTGAGACTCTCCATGAATGCGCTCTTGCGGGAATGGGGATAGAAATCGATGATAAAAACAAGCAGGCAAATTAAAGGTGTGAGGGATGTTTAACAAATAAGTTCAGTCTCGGGGTAAGGCTTGATCAGCGATTGACGCTCATGCCCGGTGCATCGTAGAGATAGGCGGGGCAAGGCTAATTCGTTGACTATGCTGTCGCAATTTTTGAACCCTCAGGATACTGTATGATAGGACTTTTCTCGAAGACCAGGATCGCTAGGTCTTCGGTTCAGTCTTCAGATCAGTACACGCTGATGCGACTGTCAATATTCGAACCTAGTAGAATGGTACCTTGGGATGCTACGCTCAGTGGTATCCGACCGGGAGCTGAAGCTGAGTCAGTTCTGACGTAATACAATGTCCCACATAATTCATGCCTAAGGCATGCTTCTACCAGTTTCTACAACATAGCAATAGTAGGTTCGTGAATGAGCTTCTCTTACACTTCTTCTCCTCTCTTTGACCACGTTTTCTATCTTCCTCACTTTCTTCACTTCTTCCAGTTATCTTTCCATTCCTAATTCAATATGTCTCAGACCCTGACTCCCGAAGGTATGTCATGACTGCTCTACTGCTTCCCCGCTCTCGAACGCGGGTCTGCACATTTTGCATAGAAATTACTATGACGTTATCAATATCTAAGACTGTTTTGAAACATTCGCTATGCCAATTCTACAATTTCATTTTTAAGTGAGATGGAGGCGCTAACATGCTTTACTTTTCAGTTACATGGGCTCAGCGTTCATCCGACTCGGACCCTGAGCGCAACTACCTTTACGTGAACATCAAGGCTGCCGAGGTTCCCAAGGCTGATGCTACCCTCACCATCACTGAGAAGAATGTTTCTTTCAAGGGCGTCTCCAGAAAGGGCGTAACATACAGCGTCTCCCTGGACCTCTTTGCCGAGATCGACCCCGAGAACAGCAAAGTCAACCACACCGACCGCGATGTCGAGCTCGTTCTCCGGAAGAAGGAGCTCAAGGAAGAGTTCTGGCCCCGCCTTCTCGAGAGCAAGCAGAAGATGCACTTCTTGAAGACCAACTTCGACAAGGTATGCTTGGGCGTTAGTTCTATTTGATTATGGGGCATGACTAATTGAATGCAGTGGGTGGATGAGGATGAGCAGGATGAGGCTGGCGAGGATGACTACGCCAACAACTTCGGCGGTTTCGGTGGTGAGGGTGGTGGTGACCCCAGTGCCGGTGCCGGTGGCCTAGGCAACATCGACTTCTCCAAGCTTGGCGGTATGCCCGGCATGGGTGGCATGGGTGGTGGTATGCCCGACCTCAGCGCTCTGGCTGGTGGTATGGGCGGTATGCCTGGTATGGGCGGCTTGTCCGGTGGTGAGGGTGCCGAGGAAGATGATGTAAGACTGCTCGCCTATAAGTGATCTGTGATTGTCTACTAACGCAACTCTACAGGATGATCTCCCCGAGCTCGAAGAGGCCGAAGGCCAGAAGTCCACCAAGATCCAGGAGGTTTCTTAAACGTGAAATGTCTACTTTCTGCGAAATCTATGACGATCAGAAACGAAAAATGAGAGTGCGTTAAGACGCCTACGGGATGATAGTTTGAATTATGGATTTGCTTGGGTTTTCGCCGTCTATTGACTGCAGGGCTATTCTGACCAAGCAGCTTTGATCCAAGGCCAACCTTTATACATGGTAGATCTATCTCATTGAAAACATCCCAATGATTGATGAAGCGTGATGAGTGGTCATTACAAGTTTTCACGTAAGTTATATAATCGAGTAATTTTACGCCCACGGTACAATTGTATATTGTAATGATCAACAGGTTGTTAGGCAGTATAGTTTTGGTGGATGTTAGTCTTCAAACGATAGCGACGAAATATTCACATATGAAATGGGCTCTGTTTAGGCATTCTCCAGGATATTTTACACTACAATCGATGCATTTACTTATGTACATCATAGCTTGTTTCATCTCTTCTTTAGGGTTCTGTGGGAGACGAAAGTCATATATACGGCAATAGAGAAGTTCAAGCCGAAAAATTCTCCAGATAGAAATTGCTTCAATGTACCCTTCTTTCCCTGCCGTACTGATATTCGCATACACGAGGGCTATATTGTGGGTGTCGAGGGCAAATCGGAGTGGGTATATGACGCATGTCGTTGTGAAGAACATTCTCAAGACTCAACACCGTACATCCCAATAATAGAATAGTGAGAAGATAGTGAATCTCTAGTAAAAACACTCTATATAAGTGTCTTCATAGATAATCCCAGCCCGCTTTTATATTTCGAGTCGCACCGTAGACACGCGGAGTAAAAGGCCCGCACCATCATTGGTTAACCAAAAATTACCGTCACACTCTCACACCCCTCGTTTTCGAGAACATTTCACTCTGCAACAACCCTGGCATTTCTGCCCGCCACTCGATATCTTTTCTTTCAGAATCTCCCTGTCATTCTTTCGGGTTTCATCAGCGTCTTTTCTTTGCCACCTTGTCACCCATTAAGGCGCACCCTGGACAGGCGCATTTTCACATTTTTACTCTCCCCCAAACCCGCGACGTCACGTCCGCCCAATCGCCGCCATGCCTCCCAAGAAAGTCGATCAGCCTAAGAAGAAGAAGGCCACCGTTGAGGATAAGTCCTTTGGCATGAAGAATGTGCGTCATACCCTTGATTGAAGTCGAAGAGCGGGTTCGCTCGTGATATACCAACATGTCCTAACATTGAATGCAGAAAAAAGGTGGTGCCGCCAAGAAACAGATCCAACAGTTGCAAGCACAAGCCGCAAGCAACAAAAACTTAGACGAAAAGAAGAAGGCCGCCGAAAAAGAGAGGCGTGAGGCCGAGAAGGCCGCCGAGGAGCGGGCCAAGAGAGAGAACCTCGAGCTGTTCAAGCCCGTTCAGGTCCAGAAGGTTGCCTTCGGTGTTGACCCGAAGACTGTTCTCTGTATCTTCTTCAAGCAGGGTCACTGCGAGAAGGGCCGAAAGTGCAAATTCTCACACGACCCCAATGTCGAGCGCAAGGCAGCCAAGAAGGATTTGTACACCGACACCCGTGACGAGAAGGCCGACGAGGAAGAGAAGAAGCAAAAGGATACTATGGACGACTGGGACGAGGAGAAGCTACGTAGTGTCGTTATGAGCAAACATGGCAACCCGCGCACAACCACCGACAAGGTGTGCAAATTCTTCATCGAAGCAGTGGAAAACCAGAAGTACGGTTGGTTCTGGACTTGCCCGAACGGAGGAAACAAGTGCATGTACAAGCACAGCTTGCCACCAGGGTATGTTTTTTCTCCACTTATGTGTGCCTCCTACACAATACTAACAGCGTGAGTAGATTCATTCTGAAGACCAGAGAGCAGAGAGCCGCCGAGAAGGCCCTCAGGGACAAATCGCCTTTGCACACTCTCACCCTAGAGGACTGGCTGGATTCCGAGCGTCACAAGCTGACGGGCACGCTGACACCCGTCAACCAGGAGACCTTCGCCAAGTGGAAGAAGGAGCGTATGGACAAGAAGCTCGCCGAGGCACAAGCACAGCAGGCCAAGGAGGCTACTGGTCGTACGCTCTTCGAGAGTGGCAACTGGGCCGACGAGGATAGTGAGCCCGAAGAGGGCGAGGACGAGGATGGAACCTGGAATTTGTCAGTCATGCGACGAGAGACCGAGAGGCTGCGTGAACAGAAGGAAGAGGAACGTCTTCTTAAGCTCAGTGGCGGGGTTCTACCTACAAGTATACCCACAACTATACCCGAAGATGTCACACCTGAAGCTGTGGGTTGAGTCCCTCCACATCCTCACGATACTAGATTCGTGGGCTCTTGAGGATCCTTCTCCCCCGGCCACATGCAACCGTAGAGTTTGTTTCGTGTTGCCATGGGGTCGGATCTCGATGTCGAGTGATCGCTACAATCGCTTGCCCAAACTGCTGGCTTTGTATGCAACCTCGGTCATCACTAAGGGCTCGGCTAGTCGCCTGTTCCTTCCAACCTCTATACGTATGTACTACAAATGTCATGCGTAGAGGAAAAGGTCTAGGCTAGCTAGCCACGGGGGCACAAAGGCTTGATGGGTCTTGTGTCCCATGTGACGGAAGAATCAACGGCCGATATACCTTTGATAGCACATTGTTATTTTGTTGGTAGAAAAAAGTTCGTCCATTCAAATGAACATGATGCCTTTTATTTTTCTATGTATCAGATTGCACAGCATGGTAAGATCTAATAATTCAAGAGATATGTACAACATGCTCTCTATAAACAACGCATGCGCTCGTTAAATGTCAGCAAATAGTTTTACAGCGAGGCTTTTGCCTGCAGTAGCCTCTTCTCGAGCATCACGGCTACAATGTCCTCCGCAATACCACGGGACAGCTCAAACCCGCGACCACCAGCACCATACCCATGAACGACATATCGATCATCAGCGAGCTTCTCTGCCTCGATGCGCAGACCGCCCTCACGAGCCGGCCGCCGACCGACAATATCGCGAATCACATCAAACTGGCCGCCGCTCTCAGGTGTGAAAGGGAACCACTTGCTTGCGTTGTCGAGGAGTCGGTGTCTGGTTTCCAGTGATGGGTTCGGGTCCCAGTTATTCGGCTCCTTCGTGCCTCCGATGATGGTTCCGCCTTCGAGAGGACGCGGGATACAGAAGGACCACGAGCCATCCGTATTCTGTCGAGTAATGGTCTTAGAGACAGGGTTACGGACAAGACAGGTTTGACCTAGAGAACATGTCAATCCACGGATTCAGAACGTACACGTTCAAGCGCATTCCAGACACAACCAACACCATCACCATCACCCCATAGACACATACCTCTGATAATAAACGACTTCGGGTCCTCAAACCCAGTTCCCGAGCAGTTCACCACGGTCTTCACATTTCCCGCCATACTAAACGCTTCCTTCAAATTGGCGAGCGTATACCGCCTCGCCTCACCCCCCTTAAGAATGAACTTGCGCAACAAATGCGCACAGTAGACAGGCGAGTTGATCACATACGTCCCATACTTCACACCCCACACCACTCCAGCCGGCACCTCTTCTTTCCCTAGAAGTTGGAACTTATCCAGGTGCGAATAGACATTGCGCACACTCAGCTGATCCAGATACTCGGGTGGCGGCGCCTCGAGGTGCTCAACGCCGTCGAGGAACTGGATGCCTGCGCCGGGCTCATCGGCCGCAGTTCGCTTAAGCCACTCATACGTGCGCTGCGCTTGGTTCGCTTCCTTGAGGGCCTGTGGCGAGGAGCCAGGCACCGGGCGGTAATGGGCTCCTGCCCATGGCGAGGCGTAGTTGACGGAAGTTTCCGATGGGAAGTCCCGGGCTACGAGAAGGATGGATTGCGCCGGAGTGAGATATTGTTGGATGCATAGTGCGGTGGAAAGGCCAATTACGCCCGCTCTGGTTGAGTTTGTCAGCTGATTGTTGTGTCTTGTGATCTTTTTTCCTTTTTCGCTTTCGGGGCGGATTGGCTCGAGGGTATTATATGTGCACTGACCCGATCACTACAATTGTGTCCTTGGACATGTTGGATGTTGGAAACCTGTCACCAGGGATTAACAGCCACTTTATAGGCACAATTATAGACGTGAAGCCCCAATGTTGGTCTGGGAATGAGTCAAGAAAGGGTCCGGGGAAGGCGATAAGACCCCCGCGGTCATATGATAAAGACACATGGCATGTTCCACTTGGAATGCAACATGAGTATACAACATAGTTGGATTCTTATTAGTGATGAAGACCTCTCTGTATATCCCTAGGGTTGGCGACGTTGGATAGTTATACTCTCTTAATCCAACAGTAGGTGCGCCTATTTTTCCACTTGGCCCACATTCTATGTACGGGGTATGTACGGAGTATACTCCGTAGTAAGGCTTCTTTTGTAACTCGTATTATTGCAAGGATCGGATTTGATCCAGTACACCCCGTACGACATGTAAATTCTTTCTTTCATTGCCCAAGCTCGATTGAAAACTCTACCGGTGTGCCCCCGATACCCTGATACATACTATCACAGGGCCCAAGCTCTAGGATGTTCGACGGTGCCTTTTTGTGCAGGGATGACTGCATATCTCTGCATTTCTGTCACATCACAGGAACCAAGCAGAACCACTCTGGAGTACTCCACACTCTATACATAAGCCTCGTGGAAAAGGGAAAAAGATAAGACCTCGGAAACACTATCCCCAACATGAAACTTCTGAACAATCTATTCTCCGAATTCCAGACAAGACGAGGGCTGCTATAGGGCCGTATAGCCAGGTTAGCCCAATCCCTACTTGATTGCAGACCGTCGTGGAATGGCTGGATGAGTGCAGGCATTGGCTGAGGGGTGGTCGTGTAGGCGCCGAGGGATCAGCAGTGATGGACGGTGATTGGCCGAGGGAGGTGACGAAGCTGCAGCTCGAGAACAATTGCAATTCCAATCACATCTCTGTCTCGGATCACATTATTATTATTATTTTCTTTCTCTTTTGCGTCTCGCTAAGTTTCTATTCTTTGAAAATTGGGCGGTTCCTTGCAGTTGGGAAAAGATCAAGTTGGTCAAGTCGGTATTAGGGTTATCTATACTTCAACTATATAAAAGTACTAGTAGACGGTTGGATTACCTCCGAGTGATCGACGTGCAGGACACTAAACATAGTGCAAGGGCCAGGGATTCTCTTTCTTCAAGACGCCCGTGATTCGGGAACTTGTCTGCATTGATCTAAGCAGGGTTAACTTTTTTTCTTTGCTCGGCTTCTGCATGCTCGTTGGTGCAAGTCCCGCAGGACAACCCAGCCACCAAGAAGGCTCGATCTCACTGTCTCCACTAATAATGTGTTGGATATGGTGCCTTTAATGTCGGGTCCTGCTCCGGTCCCTCTGTAACTGCAGAAACGGGACAGATGTATGGTCCAGTTAGGAAATGAAAGCGCCCAGCAATTCCCCCGAGCGCCAACCATTACTTAGTAGTCCCCGTATTTTCATTTTGATCGACTATCGATGCTCCCCTCTTTTTTGGGATTGTTCTATTTACCCTACGGGCAGCCCGCTTATATGTCCTTAGTCTATTATATAGAACCAGGCTTGCATCCTGTCACAAACTTAAGCCCCCCCCGTCACGCTATGTGATGAGAACGTGCAAGCGAGTCGATTCAATTTTCTAGTGCTTCAAGTGTCACACTTGAATATCCATTTTCTCTTTTTTATTCTTTCCCCTCCCCTGTTGCAACGGCTTGCGTCCTTTTTCTTCCCCTCGCCTTCTCGCATATTTCTTACATATCCTGCGTCTCGCCCTTCTCATTTATAGGGCCCTTTCGAGCCTATTTCATTTCAGTCACATTCTATTCCTTGTCAGGCGCTAATTCTACCCCGAACCCAAATGCGCCGTGAGATATCCTGAAAATTCCCTTCTTTCACCTTGACCGGTACTCAGGGTCGTGGCCGATTAGAAACCTACCTGGCTTAAACAGAGAGGTTAGTGGCCCAATCTCGTTTAGACTCATTCATCTTCCCTCTTGTTCTGGTATATATCATTTGGGACTTTTGTCTTGAACAAGTCCCCTTCTAGTAAATCAATTTCCCCGCAAATTGTCTCATATGCATCCAATATAATGGTTGAGTTGACATGGAATAGGAGCTTGGGGGCAGAATCACGACCTTCAAAGACAGTCAAAGCAATGGCACCTGCACCGCCAGCTGTCAAGCCTCGCTTCGTCGCCTGCACCTCAACGGCGTCCTTATTCCTCTATGCCCAGGGTTCAACAATCCTATGTTTGCATCATGATACATTGGCAATCGAGCGACGTTTTCAGAGCCACCAGGAGAACATCGAGTTTATATCGGTGGATAATGTCAGCGAGCGAGGTGCTGGAAGATTGGTCGTCAGTTACGATGTAGGGCAGACGGCGATTGTCTGGGATATCTTCACCGGAACGGAGATTGCACGCTTTGCTTCCTTCGATCATCTGCAAATGGCATCGTGGATGCGTAATGGCAATCTTGCATTCGGTGAGCATCATCATTTATATGTTATATGGACTCCGAGTTGCTGATTAAATAGCAGGAAATAGCAAGGGCGAGGTGATCCTCTTCGAACCTCCTACTTCAGAGCACATCTCTGCGCGCACCATTTTCGACCCAATCACAGCCCTTGCGCCCGCCATGGATTGTCGTACTTATGCAATTGGGTATGTCAGATGAATATGATCGAGAGTAACACTTAGCTAATAAGTTTCAGATATCAGAATGGTTCTATATTGATCGCGACTTTACTTCCTCAATTTACCGTTGTTCACACGCTGACTACTGCTCGTGAACCATCACCAATTATTTCCTTGGCTTGGCATGCATCTTCATCGAAACAGAAGTCAGATATGCTGGCAACGCAGTCGTCGAATGGCGATCTACGAGTTTGGAGTGTGGCAAAACCACCAGGGAAAGAGGCACCTCGAGTGATTAGGGTTTTGAAACGATCTGATTCAAACTCTTCTGATCCCAAATGGATGGGCTGGTCAAAGAACGGAAGACTTGTGCAATATCTGGAAGGGTATGCAAGGCCCTAAGAAAATGATTGAGATTGTACTGACATGTGATTATAGAGAAACATGGTCTTGGGATGTTCGAACAAAACATGTTACCTACGATCCAATTCCTACAATCGATGGTGTGCGAGGCATCGCAAACTATGGTCCTACTGCGACTCTATTCACCATCGGCCCCCAGCACTCCGTCCAGCAGTATGATTTGGAAAATCCGGCAATGGTTGCAAATGTGCAACATCTTCCAGTCATTCCCCGGCCAGGCACAGCGGAAGGCAGTCGATCACAAACGATGTCCCCACGGCGCTTGCAAGACGCTCCTGATATCCGAGAGCCATCAGGTGCGGCTAGGGGAACGCCATTTGATGCAAACAGCATTGAGAGCCTCAGACAGAGGGCTGATCTGACTAGCCCTGCTTCATCTCGCAGTCGGACGGAATCGGTGAGCTCAAAGGCATCCTCTGGGAAGTATAATGTGAGGCCTTTCTCTCCGCCGAGTCGTTCTGGTCAGAGCGCTACAACTTTTTCCATGACATCGACTGATCGTGATACACCACAACCTTCTGCTTCATTCGCATATCCCTCCTCAGTCTCAATGTCCTCGGTGAGAAGCTCGAGGGCGGCATCACGATTGCGGAATGAGGTTCATCTCAGCCCTGCTGACAAGAACATTGTGGATTTATTCCCGTTCACTCGGGCCCGCTTGATTGACGTGCCTTATAAACAGCAGCCGCCTATCGACGAGACGAATCTCACTTCAGATGATCTTCGGCTCCAAATGTTGAGCGTGGTGTTTGGCTGGGATGGAGACATCCAAGATCTGATAATAGACGAGTGTATGTATTGCCCTGTATCTTCCATCTTGGAAATAGCTGTTGACAGTCCTTAGTGAGCCGCCACGCCGTGGGTAGTCAGAGTGCTATTCTCTTGACCCAATGGCTTGGCAAGAACGATACAGATGAAATGGCCGCGATGATTAGCTCTGGGCAGGTAACATCGTCCGACTGGATGATTCTTGCCTTGAGTCAAATGAGCGGCCAAGCGCAGGCAAACAAGGTCGGACAGGCATTTGTACAGAAGCTGCTTGAGATCGGGGACATACACACCTCGGCGGCGATCTTGCTTGGTCTAGGGGACAGCAACGACGCCATTGAGGTTTACGTTTCTCGCAATCACTTTATGGAAGCTATCCTCATGACATGTCTCCTGTTCCCATCGGACTGGCAGCGCCAGTCATACCTCGTTCGCCGATGGGGAGAACATGTCGTTGCTCACTCCCAGCAACAACTCGCCATTCGCTGTTTCATGTGTACGGGAGTGGAACCATCAGAGCCGTGGGCATCTCCATCTGCCCAACAAACTTCATCTTTTGCAGAGATGATTTGCGGCAAGCCTTCTGTCGCCTCGCCCGAACCTTCGCCGGCCAATATAGTGCCACCACCCGTCCGGCCAAGATCTACATCTAACTCCAAACCTTCACTGAAAACACCAGCCCTGAAGCTAATTACTTCATTTGACGCGCAGCCAGGGCGTTTCCGCTTCCCTGGCTTAAAGTCTGATGATCGTACGCCAACAAATGCACCTGGAATCACTCCAATTGCTGAATCTGCTGTTCCCGAGTCGGCAATGTCTCCTGGTGGATTTGGCTCTTATAGACTGAACAATATCCAAAGCCTGAATCACGCAATGACTTCTCGATCAAACACTCCTGCTGCCAATCGGCGTCGTCTGCCATCGATAGGAGAGACACCAGTGGATGTGCACCCGCCAAGCTTCTCACGGTCAAACTCTTACAGCCAGAACGAGTATAGCTCTACCTCCGAAAACGAAATGAGTGGACATGAGCAGAGCAAGGACAACAACAGTGGTCTACTCACTTTGTCAGCCACGAAATACAACCCCGGTCTAGACTCTATCAAGCCCAGTCCTCAGACTGCTGTGCAGGGAACAGAGAAGTTTGCCGCAATCAAGGGGCTTCCATCGCCAGCTGCTGGTGTATTCGAGGCTCTTACAAGTGAAGACCACCGTAACGGGTCCCGAGATCGAAAACCAGATGGCCTTCAAATCGAGACATTGGAAGGTGAAATAAACCCGCAGGACCGCTCCGATTTGATCCCCAGCGCTAAAAGCACCGCTTCGACATTGAATAGCTACGCTTCGGCCAGGAGCCCAAGTGTTAGTGGCCGTAGTATTGATCAATACATCAGTAGCCTTGATGAAGCGAACTATCATGCCAGGAAGTTGCGCCCACATACTCCGGGCCGTGGAAGACGTAACCCAGACGACACTGCCAGCCAGAGCTCAAAAGTCAATCAACCACGTGAGGGCTCTCGAGATACCCGCGGTAAGAGTGAGCGTCGGTACATTCAACCCGCCAAGCGCTCTCCTTCCTCGCCGGTGCCCATGTCTCCGGAAGAGTTGGCTCGATACCACACCGAAGAGTCTGAAAAGCGAGCTGAAACAAAGTCAAAGTCTCGCGCCAGAAGTTCTAGCAAGGTGAGAGGGCCAGGTTCTCGAAACCGTCAGCGCTCCTCAAGTCGGCACACTGCTAGCCGGCTGGGTACAGACAAACGAGGCCGCAGCAATGACCGACAAGGATCCGGCGTTCGATCACCGTCGTCGCCTCTTCCTATGGCGTATCCCACAGAGGAACCTTCTCAGGATGTCGATAATCCTTTGAGACTTGTTGAGGATAACCAAAAGAGACTGCGATCTCGCCACCGAAGTGCTAGTCGACGTCGCGCCGATAAAGGAACAGCTTCCAAAAGAGATGGCTCTCCAGAGACCAGACATAAAACATCGCAAAGTCTTTCTGTGATCCAAACAGGTTCTACTACATCAGATCCCTGGGCGCAGCAGGAATCTGTTCCGGAGCAGTTGAGCAGCAAGGTTTTTGGTCAACAAGACACATCCAATGGGTCTTCTAATAGGAAACCAAGCTCGACAGCCAATGATTTCCAAGACATTGCGTCCCCAAGGACACCATTCGTCACCCTCGCAGAGAAAAAGCGAAGAGAGATTGCCGCTGCTGAATTGGAAGCACGAAGATTATCACTCGCCCGCAACCCGTCAGCACCAAATATACCCTTCCCGGGCGAGCTGCAAAGCGCAAAAAGTCCCCTTGAGGGCTCCCCTCCGTTCTCTGGTACAGGTTCATACTTCCAACGGGCTCCATCGCGGAACAAGGCTTCCCAGAACAAAGCATCACTTGACTATCCCAGCAGTTCTGACTCGAACTCTTCACGCTCTGGAATGCCCGGCGGGCTTCCGGCAACTCCTCGAGCCATGCGGCATCCAAAGTACGGAGGAAGCGGACAACACGAAGACCGACCTCCTTCTGTGCCTCTTATTCCTACAGACAACAGTTTCTTCCTCAGCAATGCCCGGTATCAAGGAGATGTCGAAAGAATCGGAAGATCGATGTCCGTCCCCGTGCCAGAAGGACAGTACAACGCCCCTTCAATGCCGAACGACCTCCCCACGCATCCTCGATTTAACCCAGCTCTCCCCCGAAGCCGGTCCAGCAGCCGCAGCCGCGCAAAGGGCCATAACCGCACCAGCTCAGGCAGCTATATCTCCAGCACCTCCCCCCACGTTCAAGTGAGCATCGAAGAGACCATCGAGCATGCAATGCAGCGAGGACCTTCAGCACAATATGAGACAATCCCGCCTCCACCACCCCCTCCCATCCTCCCGGAACTGCAGCATCTCAACACCCCACCTCCACCACCCCCGTTCCCACTCTCTGCAACGCCCATCTCGCCCCGCGAGTCCTCCGCGACTATCGACATTGCCATCGATAACAACCAAGACCTCGGTCGTCTCCTCCCTCGCGCCATGACCGCCGCCCCGGCTATCAATGTAGGCGACCAAGGGGCTGACTCCCATCAGCCGGGTAGTCCGCGTACGTCCTTTGACCACCGCCGAAACCGTAGCTCAAACGAGAGCTTCACGAACAAGCTGCGTAGCTTGACTCGTATGCGCAACAGCAGTCGCAGTGTTGAGCCTTACATGCAGGCGCATGAGGCGGAGATGGAGAGTCTGAATGCTGGGCCGAACTCGAACTATGTTCTGTCGAGTCAGAGCTATGTCGCGCCGGGCCCGAACTATGTTTAGGCAGTTAAGGCTTGGCTGGCTGACGAGAAGTGTTTTGTTTGCTTTATATATCTTTTGCTGGTCTTTGTTCTTATTCTTCTCTCCTCTCTTTTGCATCATGAGCCCCCTTTTTTGATTGTTTTTTTTATCATGAAATTGCAATGTCCTGGATTTCAACGTATCACGCATGTTTTTCAATGTCATTGGCTTTGGTTTGACATTATCTCCGTTCACGGGCTCATACCCTCTCTCGTCCTGATTGATTGATATTTTCCGAGTTATATGACCCAATTTATATTCCAAATACCATATCCTGTCATCAACCCCAATCCTAGGGCTGATTGAATGCACAATTTCCTAGTCACTGATTTCAGATTTTCTTTTTCAAGATTGCAGACAGCGATGTCTTTAAAGATCTTGTTTCCATTGGTTTTTGCTCTCTTGGTCGGGGTCTCCCTAGCTAAACGGATATGCCTGCAAAGGCTTAATGATAATGGTCTCAATTGTTTCTAGATGATTTGATATAGAAGTAGCTGTTCAGAGGCTAAAAATTACACACTTGTACATGCAAAGATCGACAGAAAAAAGGCCCGAGGCATCCCCAAGATCACCAACCGCGGTTTCGAGATGATCCATCATTGCCAATGTTCCTTTCCGCATCAATCATGCGATCAAACTCTGCCTGTGCTTGATCCCTCTCAGTCTTCTGAGTGGAGTCATACTTTTCTTGGTCACTCTGGCCAAACCCAGCAGAGAGAGGGTTCGGTGAAGGCTGTGACACGGGCTGCTGTCGAGGCTGGGGTCGTGCTCCGGCATTCTGTCGTCTGATCCGGTCCCAGGCACTGCCAGTACTCGGTGACCCATCAATGTTTGTATTCCGGTATTCTGCAGCGGTAGGGCTAGCATCGTCCTCCTCCAGGATATCCAAAGCTGATTTTGATTCGGGTTGAGTGCCTCTGCCGCGTGCCCAGATTGCACCACCATTCGAACCCGATTGAGACAACTCCGACGAAGGGGATTGAGAGCTCGCCTGGGTATCATTGGTGTTCATGTATTCAGAGTAAGAATTCGCCTGCGCGGGAGCATCGTAAGACGCCTGCTCCGGTTCGTACACATCGTCGCCTGCATACCCACCAGGCATGCTGATGGCCTGTCGCACCTGGGAGCCAATGTCTTTCTCGCCACTGCGGATGCTGCGGACACGCTCGCTAGCGGCCTGGATCTTACGCTTGCGCACGTCCTCGGGTTTCGCCCTGCGTACGTCCTCGACGAACCGCTTCAATCGCGGGTCCGTCAACATTCGCATGGCATCTTGGGAAACCGCGTAAGCGCTCGATGCCATACTTCCAAGACTAACAATAAAGACCAGTTTGAATACCGCTGTGCTGATGTTGCCTCTTAAGGCATTATCGGCCCACATGTTACGCACCGTATTCAATAGTGAGGCTGGGGTGGGATTGCTCGGAAACAGTGGCGACTTGCGTGCTTGGTTGAGGAGGTATGCTGTTCCGATGAATGAGCTTACGGGTATACCCCTCCGCGACTGGTACAGGCATCGCGTTGAGTGCTCAACCATTGCATCGAATTCGTCTTGGGTCGGGGATCGTGCTGTCAGCACGTAGTGGTTCTCCACTCGCTCGTTCACTGTGTTTGAGACCTTTCGCGTCCAGGCTGCTGTGCCGAAAAATCCAAAGTACAATGTGAAAAGATCAGGCCTCACAATTGTGTCTGGCCGGAGTTTGACCTTGCTATATTTCGCGATCGCGGGGTTGTGGCCAGGAAGGGATCGGGAGGAGTCGTTCGGAGAAGTGTTGTTATAATTCTGGCCTGCCTGCGGCGAGGCGTTATCGGAGCTCATGGTGAGTATCCGAGTGTTGAGGAAGGTTGAGGTGAGAGGTGACAGCTTCGAAGGTTGGCTGGGCCGTTTACTGTGACGTTACGCGCTGACTTAGCATTTGCATAAAATCTACATAACTATCCAGCCGTATACAATTTGAAGTAAATCCTCAATTTGAATCCCAGTCATTCGATAAAAATGCAATATCAGTGCATAAGCATGTGCTGATGTCGTATTCTTACTATCCTTGTTATAAATTCTGTTGTTCTGGGTTTACTGGTCGGGTTCAATGCCTTATAAGAACCCAGAAAGCCTCCGCGAAACCTCCTACCACTTCTCAATATAAGGTCGCAAGTCCAACTCAAACGCAAATGTCGTGCGTGGCTGAGTATGCAAATACCAATATGAGTCCGCAATCTATAACTAGTGAGTTTCAGACACAAAGCAACCAATTAAGTCAAACTTACAGCGTCGGGGCTTATTTTCGCATCCTCATGCTCAAATACCCAGGCCTTGGTACGAGGGATATCAATGATACCATCAATAACAGTATGAGAGACATGTATACCCTGCGGCCCAAACTCACGAGCAAGTGACTGCGCCAACGCACGCAGTGCAAACTTGCTCGAAGCAAAAGCAGCAAACTTAGCCGATCCCTTAAGACTGGCAGTAGCTCCCGTGAAGATCAGTGTGGGCGGATACTCCGACGATTCACGAGCTTGCAGGAGCAGCGGAAGAGCCCGCTGGGCAAAGTTAAAGGCGCCCAGTCTGATATCGGAATCACAGTGTCAGCATGGTCCCTAGGAACAATTCGGACTATATCAAGCTTGGAATGAAGCAGATAGAGTGTGTGAGCATAAGAGAAAGCAAATACGTACGCCTGTGACCTGAGTGCAGTCGTGTAATCTTCTTCTGTTAGCTCAAGGAATGGCTTGACCACGAAGCCGCCACCTGGATTGAAAACAGCAGCAGCTACCTTTGAGGAAGGGTACTGCGCTTGAATCTTGTCAAATGCGGCATTGACACTCTTCGAGTCGGAGACATCGGTACTGATGCCGATGGCCTGGCCGCCGCTGGAATTGATTTCTTGAACGACTGGGTCGTAATTTTCTGAGTTTCGAGCCAGAACTACAACAGAGTATGACTTTGCAAATTTCCTGGCGATTGAGGCGCCCTGTTCTTTCATCAGCCAATCCTGCCTTATATGGACAGAGTAGATGTAGACCGTACCGTGCCAGGGCCAACGCCGGCAATGATCGCGAGTGCTTTGGAAGCCATATTTGATTGAGTAAAGTTATCTATGAATATGAATGTTTGCAAGTCTGGGTTAAATGAGAGAATTTAAACAACTAAATAATGGTGAACCTTAGATATCACCGCTTAGAAATGCAGCGGGGATTGATCATCACATCCGCAAATGATATCATCTGCAGAGAATGGGACTGGTGTATCCCCGCAAAGATAACATCCAAGGGGAAATTAGGCCATTGGCCGATGAATAATCCTGGATATGAGCTCATTTTAAGGTCTAGCTAGACAGCCTCTTGGGGAGACTAAGATTGTTGGCGAAATAATTCCAAGGTTGGTATAGTTCGAGATGTCGGCCTCAGGCGCTTATCGATAAGACAAATAAATTTCCCATCGAATCTCCGACTCTACAACTCTCAACTCCGCATCAGACAACTAAGATGGCGGATTCAGATCCCTTACTGAGTGATCTCTGCTCAATATGGTATGCTTATGTGCATTTAAATTCTGGTACACCTTGCATCTAACCTGTGTCCGTACAGCCATACCAATCCTCCCAAGTACCGCTGTCCACGCTGCTCAACACGCACCTGCTCTCTACCCTGCACACGTCGCCACAAACTCTGGTCGCAATGTTCCGGCGTGCGCGATCCAGCCGCATACTTAAAGCGCCAAGAACTAAACACTCCATCTGCGTTCGATCGCGATTTTAATTTCATCACGAGTATCGAGCGCACTCTCGAGCGCGCGGAGAGAGAAGTTGATAACCGCGGGATTGATCTTGCGGGTGGTGCCCAGGCCGACGATGATAATTCCGAAGGTTCCCAACATCCGACTACTGGCCGTAAAAGGAAGCACCCGAACCAGGGCCTTGCCAAGGGTGAGGCTGCGTTCTTACGCGGTGCCGAAACTGCTGGTGTAAAAGTTCTTCGAGCTCCAAAGGGAATGTCGAGGAATAAGCAGAATGGGTCGCGTTTGCATCCCAAGTGAGTTGGGAATCTCTCATATCTTTTGATTCGGAATTTGTACTGACGTATGTGTTTCTCAAGGCACAAGCGTCTTGCTTGGACCATAGAGTGGATTACGTCTGATGGGCTGAAGACTATTCGTGATTCTGTCATCGATACATGCTCTGTTGCTGAAGCCTATAACCGTTGTTGCCCACGTCCGAAGGATCAAGAGCCAGCTACCAAGCCAGTGAAGGAAGAGAAGAAAGATTTGGACACCCATAATACAACTATCGCTGCACCCGGTGATCCTGTCACGACAGTGGTTGAAGAGGCAGATACAAAACAACCATCATCCCCAAACAAAGACTCAACAAAAGAACCAGCTGATGACTCAACTGAGCAAACGGATAAAGTACCAAATCAGACCATCACCCCCCACCGCGGTCTCTACTTCTACCTTCACCGTCCGCGAACCACAACCAAAAAGCCTGTCTTAGCTCCTCTCTTGCAATCCTCGACACTCAATGCTGTTCTGCGCAATCGGACAGTTCTAGAATTCCCTACGATTTATGCACTGCTAGAGTCAGCAGAGACATTGTTTTCAGACAAAGATAACTCTAAATTCATATCTGAAGAAGAGTATCTTCGCACTGCTGGACCAGATGAGATAGGCCAGTCTTCTACCGCGAGTGACGATGACGGTGCGGCTGGAAACAAAGTACTCGCCAGTTCTTCGGTGAATCTTCAAGATGTTGATGAGAACCTGGTACTGGAGGTATTGAAGAAAGATCTATTTGAACCAGTCTCGGAAACTGAGCCAGTATGAGTTATTCCGGCATGAAGAGAGATATCAGAAGACGTTAGCCAATTTGGCACATCTACCAGACAATGTACGATACATAGGGACAGCTAATTATCAGTCAATTGTACAATTGTACAACGGGTCACCTCTCAGAAAAATTATCAGGCTTAGATGCAGACGTATTTTCCTGAAAACCACAGATCCTGCTGATCGTGACATCTCGACCAAAAGAGGAAACCACGATCAGCGCGGCTTCTGTCGAGTCAAAGATCCTTCGAGTTCACCTTCACTCCACCCGGGACCACCTTGGGAATATCAAATGCTCCAGGATCATCATGAAAACTAACGTTTTGTCCTTCGGGATCACCGTGATTTATCTCGGCACGGTAGCATCAGCCTTATTAGTTGCCAGACCACCGTCGCAGTTACCAGCCAAGAAACGTCCACAGGGATGCGATTGCTACACAATATCCGGGCCTGATCCGGGATATTTTCAGCACTACAAGGTCTGGGACTTTCGGGCAGTGGATTTGAAGAAACATGCCAATCTCAATCTGTCGAAGCCCATTGATTATGACGACGAGGACTGGGACGATGACGCTGAGGCCGAGGGCCAAGAACCGCAAAATGGCCGTCTCTCGCCCGGAGTCCATAATGAGAAAGACCCGGACCCCAGATCGCTGTTGTTCTACAAAACCTCATTCGAGAAAGACTGGAGCAGTCAAAACTGGGAACGTCGAGGCACCCCCATAGCCCCAGTCCTCATGATAAATTCAAAGCACAACGTCTTCCTCACCCGGGACTCGGACCAGAATAATCCTCACGCGACGTATCTCGTCCTGCGTACCACTCGTTTTTCAGAATACACCTCCACCGCGGAAATCGAGACTCGCATACGCAATATCTACCGGTGCTCGCTGCGTGTCCGGCTGCGATTATTGCCAGCCGGCTCCGTCGTATCGCAACCTCCTCAGCATAAAGAATGGCCACCGCGGGATCCACAACGGCATCCCACCGTGCCCTTGAACAAGACGATTCCGCTCCGTGATAGCAGACCACCTGATGGCGCTTGTGCTGGCATCTTCACCTACCATGATTCGACCTGTGAATCTGACATTGAGATTTTGACGCGAGACCCGTCACATCGCGTGCATTATGCCAATCAGCCCGATTATGATTTTGCCGCTGATCACGAGATTCCCAATGCGAGTACCATTGCCGATATACCTGTCCCATGGACAACATGGTCCACGCATCGCCTAGACTGGCTCTCGGACATGTCACGGTGGTATGTCAACAATCAGATACAGGATGCCAAATCGTACAGAGTTCCCGAGTTAGAGAGCATGATTGTACTCAATCTTTGGAGTGACGGCGGACTCTGGACGGGCGACATGAGAATTGGCGACAGTATATACATGGGCATTGAATACATCGAGCTGGTTTACAACCGTTCTTCTGATGCTTTCAGGGCCCCTTATGTGTCTCCTTCGCAAAACCAGGCCCCTCCCACGAATGGTTCTTTTGGCAATGGGAATCCATTGGAGCCGGATAGAAAGGACGAAAAGTGCAAGCCAGGTAGGCAGGGCCGCGAGTGCAGAAGAAAGAAGTGGAGGAACAGGCCTCTTCATGAATCCTGTCGAAGACCATGTAACATTGATCAACTCTAGGACTTCCCAGGCAGACTGTTTGTATTATTATCAGTTTTATTCAATATTTTACTTTTAGATTCCTGGTTTCGACTGGCTTGCTTGTTCTGTCCTCTAATTTAGACAAGATGAATGTTTTCTCAGAGAAAATAGATGTCAACCTAATATGCGTCAGGGTTCCAGAGCCAAACGTTACTATTTGGATACTCATTGCTTGTGTTTAGTCCTGATGTCGGATTGAAGAGCAGAACACTAACATAATAGAAATACATAGACTCTACAATAAAAAAGGAGATGCTATTCAGGATAAAAAAAACCTCCCAAAGGAAAATAGAAGAACCAGGAAAACAAAGAAATACGACCAAACCAGTTCACGAGGAAGGGACTGCTTTGTATCAACTGAGTCACCAATGGTGGTGACCGTGGGGTATCATTCATTGCAAACATCACATAGAAAGAGCGCGCCAAAAGAAAATTCATTATCCTTTTCTCATCTTCCCCGTGCTGTTCGCCTTGCGCGCCAGAATATCAAATAATGTGTAATGATGACCGAAAACGCCTTGATGAGGGTGCTTGATATGGATAGATGTGGGTGGGGGATGGATGAGGTATGTGAGATTATGTAGGAGGGTGAAAACTTCAATGCATGAGATCGACGAGAGAGTGCGATGCTTCTGTAGCCATAGACAAACTGGTCTTTGGTGTTCATTTAGAGCAACACTGCACCTGTTGCTTTGTCTCGTGGGTTAAACTCGCCGTGAAGACCACCGTTCATGAGTTCAGCAACAATCTTTCTGCGAAGAAGTGTGATGTGGCCTGGGCCAATGGCAGTCGGCTCAACCCCAACAGTAATTGCTTTGGCGTTGGTTAGGAGGAAGACACCACAGTCACTTCCGTTATCTTGCTGAGAAGAGACCGACGGTAGGACGGTCCACTCCTCATCTTTGTATTTTGGCCCAAGCTCCCCACGAAGCCATTGCTTGACGTTTTTTACCTGCCGTTGACCGCGGGATCCCAGAGAGTCGAAATACTCTATTGTACGGTCTGCTGGTCGAATAACCATGAGAGTCCAATGACTTGACTCATGTACAGGGATGAAGACTGTGTCGACATTAAGCAGTCCTTGGCCACCGATCTTGGCCCGAGTTGCCCATCGTTTCACGCCCTCATACCCCTTATCACGAAGGGTGGAGTAGAAAAATGTGTTGAAAGTGTGAAAGAGCGGCCGATCGCTGGGTCCGAGGTTCCCATGCGATTGACGGAGATAATGTACGAGTAAACCAAGGTAGGCATTGATGATTTCGTCATTGAGCCAGGCCTCAGGCCGAATGCAAGTGATGATATCCCGCTGGTACAAATTACCTCCTGCTAATGATGTGGCGACGGCTTGTCCTTGTCCACTCTGCACGGCGCATTGAAGTTTGGTAAGCCACTCGGGCGAGATCAGACGTACGGGTTGACCCTGGGGTATCACTCTGATCGGACGTTGGAGATCGCGCTCCCGCTCTAATCTTTCTTTCTCCCGCCTCTCGAATTCCGCCTCGTACCAAGATGCAATGCGATTGGCAGGAATCGGCCTCCTGTTGGCATAAAACAACTGTACAGCGGAAACAGGGCCATGCGGAACTCTTGCATCTTGTTGAGCTTGTTGATCCCACGGGTCATCAATATCCATAAGATCATCTTGGACGGGCTTGGGGGCTTCAGTTGGTCTCGGCGATGGAATGCGCCTAGCGCTCGGAGGAGGAGGGATATATGGCGGTAATCTAGGGTGGAGATGTATGCCGAGATCCGTAACAAGTGCTGGTGCTGCGCGAGCATCTATGTCCATAAATTCCCATCCCTTCGGTGGGATATCTTCCTCCTCGATAGTCGCGCCTTGTGATACAACAAGTGTAGGTGATTCGGGAGGAGTTAACGGGAAGGCTCCTGGGATGGGCAAGTGAGAGTTATCCAAGGCTAGGCTATAGTTTAGTATATGCGACATTTATCTCCAAGTAGAGGCCATCATACCATCGCGGGCGTTAATTGAAGGCTTTAGGGCCTCGAAGGGATTGGGAATCTTGAGAGAGGGCTCCGTGTGCTCCGTGAGCTCCGTGGGCTTTGCAGGGGAGACGCGCCGCCTGCATCGAGGCCAGCGGAAGAAACCCATGTTGCTGCGAACTCTGAAGTCACCTCGAACGACGGGGGTAAGAAAGATCTACTCGTCCGGTGACGCGCTTTCGAGTAGGTTGGCAGTTGAACGAACGTTGAGGGCGTGAAAAGGGAGGAATGAGCGGGTAGATGAAGACGAGGCTTCAAGATCCATCATTGGGCATGACTGGAATATCTATCCCAAACCCAAAATCGAAGGCAAATACTCCGCAAAGGAAGAGGTATGGGAACATTATGAGCCGACGCGATGCACCGGGTTCTTTCATCATTCTGCTGACTCAGCGCATATTCCGCGGCCCAGCCTCCATTGTTGCGTTGATCACTTCAGTACTCTTTGATAGCTGTTTATAGAGTCTGCCACAGGAATTATTAGATGAAACATCAAAGCAACATGAGACTAGGGAGAAGAAGGAACGATATTTAGCAGAAGTTGAAGGATAACATTCAAAGGAACTCCTACAAAAACGATATACAAACAAAGAGAGACAATATGTACGGAGCACTACTCCGTACACAACTCTTCGCTTGAACGCCCTTTGTTCTTTGCCTCTAAAGATCTTATATGTCGTGGTTCATGCGGCTAGTCTCATACCTGTGTTTGAGCAGGATGTTTGACTAGACCGAATAACAACTATGAATATTGCTTTCAATGCGTATGTACATGGATAACGTAAAGGATACTTAAGGTGGCCTGTTCCAGCACAGCCTGCTGAGCTAGGAGCAGGCCGAGGAGTTAGTGGAGGTAAGGGAAGAGGGACTGCAAGGCGAATTGCACTTTTATCAATACATTTCTCATCCTCGTTATCGGGTTCCAAGTCCGATTAGGTCGAATAACAGGGGTGCGACTTCAATGACCACCCATGGAATACCTAATGAGGACTATCAGCAAAGGTTCTGTCAAAATACAGGGGTTTCACATACCCGCATATACAACTAGTTTTGTCACTACCTCCACATCGTACCGCACGCGGGGCTTCTTGATCTGGGAGAAGACTTCTTGTTCATCCCGCTCCCCAGCCTGGATGTCTAGCGAGGGGAAAGGTGTTGTTGGAATGTCAAAATTCACATTAGCTGCCGATGACATAGGGCTACCTCTTCCCATCATGTCTTCATAATCGTCCAGTGATGCCGTCTTTCTTGGCCGCACGGGTGTTCCATTGAGCTTGTTTTGATCCTCTGCGACCGGAGAGGGATGATTGCTCCCAGATTGACTCTGGCGTCGGCGTTTCTCCCGGTACGCCAGGGTCTCATACGCATCGGCTTCTGACTGAGGACCAATTGAAATGGCTCGGCGGCGGGGATGGCGCATCGTGGTAAGGATGTCTGGGATGTCAGAAAAGTTCGGAAAAACATCATGATCCTTTAGGTTATAGGGAACGGTGGTGTATTTCCTAGGAATAGGTCAGCATAATGTCCACTGGCGGGAAGTACAGTCGAATTCGAACTTACGATGCAGTAGTGAAGAAACGTCGAGGGAGCAAAAGCCCGAGCTTCTCCAGAGTGCGGAAGATAGGTGGCAGAATGCGCAGCAGAGCAGGCTTTGTTGCAATTCTCCAAGCAAACACACACAAGACGCCCATGAAAAGACGAATGACAGTCTTAATCCAACCCACTGTCGCCAGATCGTAGGGAATTGATCCAGACGGATAACCCACCCAGATATCGGCGAAGTGCCATGAAGACACATCCACGCCTAGCATGACACCTGCAAATGCAACACTATCGTCGAAGCATGGGCAATCATCTGCCGGCTCCGGGTGGATGCGGACGAGAAATATGATGAGAAGTCCCAGCAAGGAAATTTCCTTCGGCGAGGCGGACAAAATGAATTCCTCAAAGGCAGGTCCGTAATGAAACTGTATGAGCCCGATGGCGGCACCCATAGCACAACCAACAACACAGTCGAGCATCCCATGCATTCCGCAATACAGTCGACCCAATACAATAGACACGACATAGACGTAGGTGACGGCTTGGAGTAAGAGGGTGACCTGCGTGCCGAGAGTTGAATCGGGTGAACCAAGCAGGGCTAAAGCATAAACTGCAACCGAAACAGCGTTGGTGGAATGTGTCGATGGGAAACCATATTCCAGGGCTGCAGAACCGGACATGGTGATTCGCTGGAGTGGCGGGGACAGAGGGCGAGGAAGACAGAGTAGGTCTTTGAGGAAGCCGCTCCAAAAGACGCCTGATGCTAAGATGTGTACTAATCTATAGACGATCACTATCAGCCACAGACTCCCACTTGCGCTTCCAATTTCAGAAAGATAACGTACCCGCGACCCATACTGGGAGAGCCACACCAGAATAGGAAGGGTAAGAAGACCATGAAGAACGTGTGGGTGCCGAGGTTGGCCGTGAATGCGAAATACGAGTCGAGAGTGGGCGTGCGGACTTTCTCCTGTACCCAAGCCAAATATGGCGTCTCATACCGGATCAATGGGATGAGCTTTTGTCGCGGCCAATACCGCCAGAGGGGCAGTCGGTTCGAATCTATGTGGCAGACGTGCGAGGGTTAGGACATCGCGATAAGCCACAGGTGGATGAAAATGGAACCAATCGCATACAGTGATTCAGACTCTTCAGCCCAGCATCGGGCTGGTCTTTCTTGCTCGTGCCCATGATGCAGTGTTATCGATTCAGACAATGTCGCAATCGAATGGATTCCATGGAATGGACAGGCCGCTGCCTGCCAGTCCGTTTGAAAGGTTGAGGGATATAGGGATCAGAACATAAGGAGCGAATTGAAGTTGGATCGAAGAAAATGATATAATCGAGAAACTCGAGGTTGGATCCTCCAAAGTGGACGGGGAGATCATCCGCGGCTCAAACCCCTGATGCCCATGTGTGTGCTTAGTCATTTTGCATTGGGGCTTGCCCGGGGGATGCTCTAACGGAGTATATACGGAGTCCGAGGCATCGATTTTTACTAATTTGTATTTGATGTTGGGATAGAGTCTCTCAGCTGTAGACCTATATTCTGTACAGAGTACGGAGTACGAAGTAGAGGGTGGAATACATATTTATGTCGGATATATGTTTTGCAATGTATACCTATCTGGATCGTCCTTGAGGTCGAATACATGTCAAATCGTTCTGATTTAGATTTTGAATGACTATGTTGTATGCACTTTGCTATTTTCAACTGGTTTACGAACTATTTTGTTCATTACCTGGTGATGCTACTCCGTACATACTAGTTATGTGGCTCTTAGCTTGTGCTGTGAGGATCCTCTTGCCTCTCCAAGTTTGATATACTCTGATTGACATCTCCTCGGAGAGAGCGAGATAAAGCCAAGAAATAGAATGTAATAATAATAGTATATAAAGTCAACTCTCGTACCTTGGAGGCTGTTTAGCGCGGGACGTCGGTCTTCTCCGAAGATGACATGCAGAGTTAGTGAGTTTTTAGTTTCTATTCTATTATATGGCTTCGCCACAAGATTTCCAATTAAATGCTTGGATTTACAACCCTTCTCCAGATCTGAGCCTATACTAGACACAATATAAGTTATAATATAACTTATACTACGCAAGGTAGAAGAAAGAGTGTGATGTTTGAAATATCTACAAATCACATGACTTCAGATAAACTTGTATAACCACAAACTTGGATATGCCACAGCTGAACAGTGGGGAACAGGGAATATATTAGCGGAGTCAAACCCAAAACAGGATCAAGATAAACCAGTCAATGTCAGAATACAGGATATAGAGGCCTTGAATCGTGGGAAGCGGAGCCCTGGCGTCATGGAGGGACGGCCGTTGCTATGGTAGCCCAGGGGGGTAAACACGGGTTTCACGGTTTCACAGGTCTCGCCAGACCCTCTTGCTCTATCGATCCTCTAGATCATTTTTAGATCTATCTTCTCCTCTTTTTCCCTCCTACATCTCATTCCATACCATCTCTTCCCTACCAGACTTAACACAACGCCGTTTTCCTCTGTATCACATTACAAACGAGGGACATTCCCAAGGTCCAACCCCTATCCCTGCATCATGAGTGCTATGTACGAAGACCAATACAATGCAGCATCGCGCCGTCGCTCTCTCGTTACCCCTCCTCCATCTTTGACACCGCGTCACAGTCGTACGCGCAGCGACAGCATCCGAGTCAGCCACGGCACGGCCAGCACCAACACCAGTGTCTCCAGTGGACGGATGTCCGAGGCGACAAATATCACTCAGCCGCCCTCATTCTCAAAAAAGTTTGTAGTGGTGGGCGATGGCGGATGTGGCAAGACCTGTCTGTTGATCAGTTATTCCCAGGGTTACTTCCCAGAGGTACGTTCGGCCTACGAGGAAAGATGTGTCCCTGGTGCTGATCATCATTTAGAAATATGTCCCCACGGTGTTTGAGAACTATATTACCCAAACGACACATCGGGCTTCTGGCAAGACCGTTGAATTAGCCCTCTGGGATACTGCTGGACAGGAGGAATATGATCGTTTGCGTCCGCTGTCCTACCCCGAGACTGATCTTCTATTTGTCTGCTTCGCTATCGATTGCCCCGCATCATTGGAGAATGTTGTTGACAAGGTGAGTCCTCAAAATGGAATATCTTTGCTCGATTTGTCTAACATCCCTCCTCTTAGTGGTATCCCGAGGTTCTGCACTTCTGTCCCACCACACCGATTATTCTCGTTGGCTTGAAGTCCGACTTGCGCAATAAGCGAACCTGCATTGAACTCCTCAAGACACAAGGCCTGACACCCATCACACCAGAGCAAGGCGAAAATGTCGCCCAACGGATGGGAGCAACATACGCCGAATGCAGTAGCAAGGAGATGCGCGGCGTGGACGAGGTCTTCGCCAAGGCCGTTGACTCGGCCATCTCAATCGAAGAACAAGGCTGGGTAGCCCCGCAGCCGGCTGGCCGTAATAACCGCAACAATCGCGCCAGTGCCGTGCCTTCAGGGGGTGGAGGCCCCCGCCCCGGCAAGAAGATTAAGAAGCGCACTTGCAAGATTCTGTAGATTGATTCTACTCCATCTGTATTTCCTTCCATTCTCGACATCCTTTGACCTTTTTTTCTCTCTTGGCCGGACCACAAGCCTGGTTGCTTCGTCGGCTTGCTTGCCCGCTCGCCTGTGTATGTGACATGTCGCCGCAAGCTGGACAAAGCTAGACATGACTTTCCAAACCCTTCTCTGTTGTATCGATACGCTGCGCGGCCCTTACAATGATCTCGATTCTTTTTATTTTTGCTGGAGGCTGTTTCTTTTATTCCACCTTTGTTCCCCGCTTATTTCCTTTTTTTGGCCTTTGTCATGACCCTTGCCCTCGTTCCATTTGATGTCTCTTATGACTCGGGTCTTAGCCGTTTTCCATTGGCATGCATGGGACCGGTGTTCTCGTTTGTGTTATCTGATATGTTCTGTTGGCGAAAGCGACGTCCTATGTGTTACTAAACAATACATTTGACCTATTGTGTTTATTAATGCCTTCCCCGTATGATTCGTATATATTTCCCCCGGGAATCTAACTGGAATTTTGAATGGTATCTAAGAAAAGAGAAAGAAAAAAGAAACAAAACAGCCCGACGCCGAGACCCGTCATGCAGACCAAAATGTAAAATAAACCATCACGGCATGGCTGTCGAGTCACCCTCGTCTTCACGCTTTATTCCCGACTTACTCGCATCACTCTCCCCACTGACCTTCCGCTTCACATTGCCATTGCCAGCCTCCTCGCCTTGTTCTTCAGGCCGGCCCATGAAATTCTCAAACTGGGACCAGAGAGCTTCCACAGATCCAAATTCATTGCCCACCTAATAATACCATTAGTAGATGCTCTCCCTGTCCGGGTGGTGAACCTTACCGCAATAACACTCTCCAAATTCCGATTCAGACGGTTGATGTTTTGAAGTACTTGTTCCATACCCTGCGCGAATAAATTAGCATCGGTTGCGGCGGCTGATAAGGTGGGAAGTTCGTAGATATTGGTACATACCACTGCGATCTCTCGGACGAGTTCCTCGCGCTGCTGCTCAAAGACTGTTGGGGACGCGCGACCGCCAGAGCTTGGTGTCTGCTGGAGCCAGGCCATTTTTTTGGCTTCTGAAGACTAGATGGCGACGAGGAATGGCACGACTTGGCACGTTCACGTTGTGCTCAAAGACGCGGCGGTTGGGGTTTCGGGGAGCGTCGCGGATGATTCCTTGGCGTTGGATGTTTGACTAGACGCGGGCTTTTGCAGGGAAATATCCAGTTGGAGTCACTTCACAGTTACAGTCGCAGTCACAGTCGTTGCAGTTGGACAATTTGAGATGAGGTTGATGTGGGGCAGGTTTGATAAGAGATAAATATGTATGGAAATGGCGATCTACTTCCATCTTGTATGTGACACTCTACCAAATCCCCGGACTCGTCTCTGAAATCTATATGATTGAACTGAACACCGATTCTATATTTCTCCTGGAAGTTTTCTGGCGTTCTGGTCCTTGAAGACGTTTGCATTGTGCTCGGTTTGACTCGAGAAGAAAGGCATCTTTCCAAGAGAGCACACATATTTATGATTTCTTCGAGCGAGCCTGACGAATTCTTATTCTGAGAAACAACAGGCTACCCCAGGCACAAATTTATAAAGGTAGACCATATCAATAATTGTATGAAGGCACCAAAATATTTCATCTATCTCATCCTGATAGTATCACGCGATGCAACCGTTGATATAATACCATATCCTGCAGCTTAGTGGCACGCAATCAAGAGCAAGGATTATCATCTTTATCTACTTATGGTAAGAAGAAGGCTTAGGAATCAAAGGAAGTGCCGTATAGTTACATCCGAGTTCTAGACTTATGCATAAGCCACACGGAGGCCGGTGTGCATCGTCAGCATAACTTGGCATAGCGTGGGCAGAAGATGTGCTTATGCTTGATGCATTCATTCCGAGACTTAGAGCCGCGGCATTGGAAAGGGGTGACATGGAGAGGCCCACAAGTATATAGAGGCGCAGGGCAATTTGTGGAGACTCGGATACAGCAAGCTCCGTGAGGTTGTCAAATCGAAAACTCCAAATAAAGTCCGGGAAGGTAAGAATTTCATCACATTCGTACTGTGTGTGAGTGACAGTTGAGCTGAGTACGATAAATGAGAGCTTCGGAGAGAATCAGACGACAACTCTAGTCGGGAATGTCGTACGAACTCTATAACGTTCAGATGTCTTGAGCCTATATATCCAAAAATATAATAGGCTTCAGCGTTTAGGATTATTGGAAATCCCCTGAAAATGGTGATATATAAGTGTCCATTACTGTGTGCAGGCCCTGTTAAATTTGGTTTCTAATAGGTTTAGACAACACGCTCAACGACACAATGGTTGAAGTCAAGTATATGGGAGAATATGACTACATACCGTCAATACCAGCTGCCGTGATATTCATTGGCCTATTTGGGATCTTAACCCTCCTGCATTGTTGGCAAGTGTTCCGTGGTCGGACTTGGTTCTTCATTCCTTTTATATTCGGAGGAATATGTAAGTACCAGCTCAATGAACCCTTTCCTTGGGCCTTTTCCAGTTCTTTCTAACAAAGGTTTTCTGCAGTTGAGATTGTTGGATATATAGCTGTAAGCCAATCCCAATACTCGATCAAGCGAAAGAGGGCATATGCTCACAGCTCTAGCGTGTCGTTTCTTCCAAGCAATACCCGAATTATACCATTCCCCCTCTTGCCATACAAGCCATTTTTATCCTCGTCGCGCCGTCACTGCTCGCTGCGAGTATTTATATGGAACTCGGCCGGATCATGATTGTCACTGGTGGAGAACACTTGTCACCAATCCGACGTTCGTGGTTGACGAAGATCTTTGTGGTTGGAGATGTGATATCATTTCTTGTTCAGGCAGGAGGTAAGACGTCCCTCGACGTATGTGCGAATCTTGCATCTCCTGATTGACTAACGATATATTCCAACAATGCAGGAGCCGGGATGCTCGTCAAAGCCAGCACAGCAGAAAAAGGCGGAAATGTGATTAAAGTCGGGTTGATTATCCAAATTATCTTTTTCGGCCTCTTCATAATCACCAGCATCATTTTCCACGTCAAGCTTGTGAAAACCAGGTCAAGAGTGCTACAACAGCACGAAGTCCCCTGGAAAAGGCACCAGACCGTGTTATACATCGGCAGTCTGCTGATTTTCGTCCGTTCCATCTTCCGGTACATCGAGTACAACCAGGGAAGTAGCGGGACATTACTCCAGCATGAATTCTGGAGTTATATTTTCGATGCCGCTCTTATGGTGCTGGTAATGGCCGCGTTTAACGTGGTGAATCCGGCCGAGATTAGCAGGTTGATGGAAGGGAGAAAAGGCGAATATGGGACGGAGCTGATTGGATGATTGAGACGACTGCCGGGAAATCCCCGGGGATATTCAATCAGACCGACTCAACCTGTATTGAAGTGATGTAAATTATAATCTTGATAGATCGAGCCAGAGTCCATACACATGTGAGGCCTTAGTCCCGAAGTCTGTCCGACATTCTCTGTTCGTTTTGCTACAGTTCTCTTTTCAACTTGAATTCAGATTTCAATTCGCAGGTCTCTCGTATAGCTCTACATGTACGGGATTTGGTCTAGACTCGAAGGTCCGAAGGGTCCGGCGCAGGGACAGAGGCCGAAACAGTACCAAGTCGCGAGTCGTATCCCCTAACACGAAGAGCTGTTGTGCTAGACAAGGGAAAAAGGGAAAGAGCTATGCTAGCTATACGTTCCTAACTCTCAGAGATATTTACAGCAAAGTGTTTTTATTAGCTTAACGAATGTTCCACTCCGAGGGTCCAGAGTCCACTGGTACCTATCCTGTACATACTACAAGCCTGACAGGTAGTGAAAATGTCAGAGCTAAGACCCCGCCGGATTTAATATTTGCCAGGTACAAAGTTCAAGAACAAACAACCGGGTCAAATAGAATTTCGGTTACTGTCGCTTCATAGGAAGAATTCGGACCAAATGTAGTTATGGTTTATGGTTTATGGTTTACTACATCGGCTATGCAAGGTGCTATGGCTACAAGCGACAGGGAAAAGTAGTAGAAAAGCAAAGGAAGTTGTAATAACAAGAAGCGAATAATAGACAGAAGGGAAAAGCAAAAGACAAATGTAGGTCTCAGACCGTTCACGTTCTTCCTTAGTTTCTATACATGTGCCAAAGGACCAATCCAGATCCAAATCCAAATCCTAGACAAGATCAAATAGTCAAAGCAGGGCAAAATCCTGTGCCCTTGTCAACCAGACCAGTGCCAGCAAAGCAGATCAAAAGCAGTCCGAGGCCAAACGCTTGATAACACCCGAATAGCAAGGTAACATCGTCGCGCACATCATTTCGTATCATTCCAATTCGTAATCTCATTTGCAATCCACAGTTCTCGGTTCATGTCACAGTGCCTCGGGCACGAAACACAGACTCAACCCCGATAGTCGAGTCGTGAATCCGTAAAATAAAATCATTTGCAATTTTTGTTTTTTGTTTTTTTTTGCTCTCATTCTCACATGGCAAGAAATGTTCGAGTATTGTCCACCCGAGTCTGAATATGTGCCTGAGACATATAGTAAAGTGGAATATAGTATTGCAGGCGGGGGTGTATGTGCTTAAGAGTGCCGGCGGGGTTGCGCGAGGATATTGCTCAACCGTTTCCAGCGCGGCGTCGGGGATGTCGAGTTCCTCCGAGACGGGGATTTTTCTGGTTTTGATGATGTTTGTGTAGAGGAACGGGCTCGGTTGTTGATGGTTGCTTCATGGTCGGCGAGGACATCCTCGAGGCGGACGTCGGCGTCAGACATACGTCGAGAGTCCTTGGGATCAAGGATCTCGATGAACTTGGAGGGTGTATCACGCATTGTGTAGAGTATTCTTATTCTTTGCGCTGGTGGAGGAGGGAGAGGTATGATTTCAAATTTCAAAGTAGAGGGAAATCCAGAGGAGGTCACGAGGACGTATAGTTTTGTGTAGGTTCAAGCGCGAGATGAAACTGCAGCCTAGAGATTCGAGTGTTTCAAGTTTTGGAGAGAATGGAGGATGAAGAACAGAGGATAGTAAAGTAGAGAATAAAATAGAAAAGAAGGGAGTTATTTTTATAAAAGAATGGTAACGGCGTCCGACAGCCAAAAAGGAAATGTGAATGTCTGTACCGAAGATCAGTGGAGTCGAAGTATAAGATTTGTGGACTATCAGAGCGTGATTTCTTTGGGATATTTGGGATGTTTCATACTTATAGAAGAAGTACACGTACAAGCTAGTACGTACCATCCATGTAGGCAACATTTCCACCCCACAAGCCAAGTGCATACAAGATACACATACTTCGATGCACAAGCCCGTTTGGGCAATGTCCGTTTGGGCTGCGGGGCGATGATCGGCAGCTACTTGGTGGCGTCCGAGTGACGATGAACCACGATGAACCATGATGGTTCGTAGATATATCAAGAAGCATTTGATGCAAGGGGAGTCGAATTTGGTCTAGGGTATAAGAAGATCAAATTCTCTCTTCTGTTCTCCTTCTATAGACAGGAACTCCGAGACTCTAGCCACGATAACCTTGTGCGCTACTCGTCTTATCTTAGCTTACTTTTTGTGGATGCCATCCATCAAGCGCCATGACGTCGATGGCATGAAATCTCCATCAGGGTTTCGATGCTCAAATACTGTAGATGGGTCGATGGGAGATCGGCTCCTAGTATGTATGATGTACATTGGTCAATAGAATGCATGTGCGCCATGTGGTACGTCGTCTTCTATAAAAAGAACCGCCACAGCAATTAGCCACTTCAATCTGCCGCGCATCCGAATCTCTTCCAACAATTTCTCATATAATATGAGGCAAATGTGCCATACAACATAGGGAGGAAAGGAACGCGTCAAAAGGGACAAGGGTGTCAGAACGGAGTATACGTAGGTGGATTCGCCCCAATGGAGATTGCTCAGGGCTGTGCCCGGAATGTCAACCGGGCCGTCGGGCGGACTGTGCGGACTATTCGATACACTTATCTCTAGGAAAGAACGGGATGTCCAACAGGGATGGCGACTATATTCAGTCCGCGAAATACGAATGAGAGCAGTACTTGGAGCTACTATTTTCTGTCGAGAAACCGATCGCCCCGGGCCATAGTGTCACTCCTTCAGTGCACCGGCGCACACGTACATTCGAAATGTGGCGATGCCTATTGGATTTACTCTGTGGTCCCCCTTTTTCTCACCGGTGCCTCTGGGTGAACAGCAAGATGGGAGTACCGGGAGATGTTGCCGCCATAATACACCGTCATACTCGTTGATAGTCGAGCAGACTCGCGCAGCAGAACACACACCCGAGTGTCCAACAAGCCTAGTAGACTCGGTACGATCTGGTGTCAGGCGGGCGTAGCAGACCTGTGGCACACACCGAGTAGTCTACTCATTCAATGGAACAGTGAGTCCCACTGCGCCAAATACACTGCTCCAAAGCAGCGAAGCACACACTTTCCGATCAAAATGGTACGTTTCTCCGACCGAAGAATTGTCCGCGGATGTAAAGGAATACAAATGGAGAAAGGAAGAAGAGAAAGAGATAGCTTTTGATCTGGAAAAAGAACAAATTAGGCAGTAACAACTGCGTGGAGTCAACATAACATAACGCTTATGTCGGGGTAAGTGAAGTGTGATAGTCTCATTCTACCAGGTTCCCGAGGTCAACAGTCATCAATAAAAAGTCCTTTTCCGTTCTTGAACGCCATAACTTCAGCTAAAAATGTATGTAGCGGATCACTCCCAGCACCCCTCATGTACCGCACTGCATCGCATCTCCATTCCAGGGTATGCGACATATTATTTAAATTCCATGTCCGTCATCTCGATTGCGTTGGCCGAGCCCATCCAGAGAATGTTGTTGCATCTGTGGGAAAGAAAGAGAGTTAGCCAAGCTCGAAGCGCATGTATCTAGCCCGACGCTAAACCAATGGAAGCGCGCATCGCATACCTAATCAGAACCAAGCCCAATGCACCAGTCGGCTTTCCATCGATAAACTCTTGTGTGTCGCGCAGCAGGACGTTCATGTATGAATCGATGCTCTCGAGAGTGCCTTTGTATTCGGTCTGGCCCCACTTTAGGCGGATGAGGACTTCAGTGCCCACGCTGTAGAGATATGTAGGTTAGCAAGGTGTCTTAATAGCAACGATGCATGTGCGAATGTCTCGAAAGATATGCTGCTTGGGCTGCTTGGACCGGGGTGGGGCGAGTCGCATACCGAGCCTGGAGGAAGGGACGGGGGTTAAGCGGTTGGAACTGTAGAATAGCAAGTTAGCAATTGAACTCATGGGAATAACGCGCGGGATCTTGAGCTTGAAAGCGGGCTGAGCTTGAGGGGGAGAATACGGACACTCATTGTGACTCGAGAAGAGTTCCTGGTTGGTTGAGGTGGAGTAGTATTCAGTATATGATGATAGCAGAAACCCAATCAAGATCTATTGCTTCGTTGGTTGATCGTGCTTGTCGTGTTGTTAACTGCGTTGACATCGGGGTCGGCGAGATCGCGAAAATGTGCCCAGGTAAGCTGAACAAGGCGGTGATAGATGGCCAATTACCGCCCGTGTCTCTTCACCGCCCCCTGCATAAAAGTGCTTGGGTTGACAATCGACACGATGGTTTTCGCTGCTTTTAGGTGAATACACTGCATTAAATCCTTAGAGCTACGAGAAAGCAATGAAATTCATGTTATGGCTCGTTTTCTCATCATTGGTGTATCTCTCATTTTCAGCATGCTCCGCGCCCCTGTTCCCATCACAGCCTCCAAGACTAAGCTCCCACAGACACCAGTAATAATACAATGGGAAAAAAAAAGAATCGGCGTTCATCAAAAGTTCGTAGATGTCGACGCCTATAATCTTCATCGCCAGGTAGATCTCCGCTTAGCGGCCAACGGTCCAGGTGATTTCCTTGATGCTGACTTCTTCACCCTTCTTCTCGTCGTAGTCATACCACTCACCCTCCATAAGGTCAATGCCAGAGAAAGTAGTAGTGGACTCGATAGCCTTAGCTTCCCATTCACCCTGAATTATCTTCGTCAGCACATGAAATTACCTAGGTGAATCTGGTGAATTCGGGATTTACTCACGTCGGGCTTGAACTCAATGAACTCGAGGCCACGGCAATCGATTTCGAGGATCTTCTGGGCCTTTTGCTTTTCCTGGACCTCATAGGGCTTAGGTCCGTTAATGACAGAGGCAGTGTGGGTTTTCTATGTGGCTGTTAGCTGTGTGATCATGGAAAAGCCGAGAAGGCCAAATGATTCATGTCAACAAAGCGGAGTAAAACTGAGAGTTATGAGTTTCGCAAGAAAGAGGGAAAGAAACCATTTCCAGCTATTGGATTGGAAGAAATAGCTCGCTTACCGTGCACAGTCGGCACTTCCACACAAAATTAGCCTCGCCGCGGCTACCGGGGATCTCGTGTACCTCCTATACATCAATCCAGTTAATAAACCATTCAATCGTGGCGAAATGGAGAGCAGGATGTAATTAATCCACGTACGAAACGGTTGAAGCTGACCCAGTTAGGGTGCGTCTCGTGGCAGGAGGTACATTGCACTCGGAAAGTGTAGAAGTAGGGATTTTCCTCAGTGTCGGTGGGCTGAAGAGCAGTGACGCTGTATCATCATATCAGCTTTTTGACTCTTTGATAACGATGTCTGAAAGGATCTGCCCGCGCGACGTTCCTGGAATTGGAGTGCAGTGCGGGGAGATCCAGGCACCTGAAAAGGCTCAATAATCCAGCACGTAAGAAAGGAGCACTTACCCCTCCATCTGAGCTTCGACCGAAAGAGTGAGCATTTTTGGCTTGCGAAGTAAATTTGATCTTGAGGTGTGATGGCTGAAGTCAAGATCCTCTCTGTAGGTGATGCGGGGTGGAGATGGAAAATACTTAACGTAGATCGAGGGCTTGGCATGTGACCACTCTGTAATGATTGAGCTTATCAAGACTAAAAATATGACAGAAGTGTTAAGAGGAACTTGGATATTTGAATTGTGATTATATTCATAGAAATTGGAAAATAAACGCCAGGAATGCTCAAGCTATCGCTCGCAATGAGCGAAACAAAAAAGCAAAAAAGCTATATACATCTCGAAGGTAAGATACAGACCCAAAAACACGTCAACATTCTCACAAACGGCTCTGTTGAGAATCTTGGCCGAGAGGCTTCGTTGAGAACGCATTGAAGAACTCGTTGAGAGCGTCAACAGTGCCACTTCCCTCAACCAGCTGCACGGTGCAAGCAACGTGGCTGTCAGGACGGGTGACGACAACACCACCCTTCTCAGCATCAAAGCCGAGCTTCTCGTGGGCTGCAAATTGAGCCTGAGGAACGCGTATATCGGGGATATCATCGGCATAGAGGTGGTGGTGGTAGTCACGTAGGACCTGGGGGATGGAGTCCATATCGATGTTGTTCTTGGAGCCTGCATAGATCACAGAGAGGGTGAAGAGCTTGGAGTGAGGGTTATGGCGCTCGAAGAATGACACATCGGTAATATCAGACCGGCGATACACCGAAAGGAACGAGCGTTCTTTCTCTAGGTTGGCTGCCAGGTCGGCAATGGCCTTCTTAGTCTTGAACTGATTGCCAGCGAAGATGAAGATGCGGAATGCACCGTTAGCGGGCACTTCCTGCTCAAGCTCGACAAAGTTGGAATCGGCAAGACGGGTGACAGTGGTCGGGGTGAAAGCGCGACCCGGGGTCAGATGAACACCGGGAATCTTGAACAGAGGGGACTTGGCAGGGTGGCTCACGTCCCAGGTGAAAATATTGGGCCGGTAGGCCACTCCGTATCCACTGGTGAACTCGCAAGATGACTTGAAGGTCTTGACGAATTCGTCCTCCTCCCCACCAGCACCCACGGTGGTGTCGCTGGCAGAACCGACCTCGCCGGCAGAAGGACGGCGCTTGGAGAATAGGGCTGCGTACTTGGAATCGAAGTTCAACAACGTCTCAGCGATATCCTTGCGTTCGCTCTCGTAGGTGCTGAGAATAGAACGGTTGGCAAACCCACTCTCCACGGCGTGGATCTTCCAGGCCATGTTGAGTGCGTCATGGAAAGCAGTGTTCATTCCCTGGCCGGCCTTGGGCTTCAGGGGCGTTAGCGATATTGTGAGAGCAACAGGGGTTTTAACGGGGGGTACCAACGCTATGAGTGTGGCAAGCATCGCCACCCATAAAGACTCGCTCGTCAAGGGTATACTTTTCAGCAATACCTTGTCCAATGGGGTAGACAGAGTACCACTCAACCCGGTCCCACTCAATCCAGTATGGCTTCAGAATGTTCTTCGCAGTCTGCTGGACCTCCTCAACAGTGGCAGTCTTTCGGGGGTTCCAATCGGCGTCGGTGGAGGAGGCGATCTGGACATAGAGGCGGACCATATTGTCCTCGCGGGGAATGACCATGATTGAGCCAGCGTCGGAGTGGATGGTGCATTTTGTCTGTATACTAACGCATTAGAAACATAGAAATACGTGACATTGGTTCTTGTTAGGCATGCCCACCTCAATGTCAGGGAAGTTGGTGCGCACGACACCGTCCATGACACCCCAAACATAGGCAATGGGATCCTTGTGGTGGATCTTGATGCCCAGCTGCTCACGGACAAAGCTGCGGGCACCCTCGCCACTAAACAAGTACTTGGCGCGCACATTCTCGATAACATTCGTATCCAAGCACTTCAAATTGACTTCAACAGGGTAATCAGCGTTCGCACCATCGTTCTTGAAGCCAACAATAGTCCATGGCCGCTCGACAGTTGTGCCAGCCTTCTTGATTTCATCCAAGAACACGCGCTCGATCTTGCCCTGGTGAACCAGGGTGGTGAAAGGGTAGCGGGTATCAATAAAGCGGGGGCAACTAGGCCAGCTGCCAGTACGGCCGATGCCAGAGCCGTCAGCTTTGGGATCCCAGAAGGCAACGTCGTACACCTTGGCAGGCTCGTAAGCCATGATCGAGCGCTTCAAGCCAAGGTTGCGCAGGATCTCGGTAGATCGCGGCTGAATACCGTCAGCGCGACCAGTAGCGGTCGGCACTGGGCGGTTGTCGATATGCTTCACCTTGTAGCCCCATCGTGACATACAGAGGGACAAGAGCAGACCGACGGGGCCGGCGCCCACAATGACAATATCATAATTCTCTTGTTGGACCATACTGATGGCCGAAAGCAAACACGGGGATTGGATGGAGGGCAGTTATAAATTGGATGGCGCACGGCTATGGGATCAGCGTAAATAAGTACCTATGGCTTGAAAGAAAAGCAGAGTCGCTCAGAGGTTCACCCTGCACAATGACTGGGGGAGAATGAATGAGGGCCATGGCTATCCCTATATACTGTCCGAGAACTGGCGTAAGTGGGCAAATTGGGTGTTCAGCTGAAGTAACGGAGAACATCCACGGCATTGAGAGTCGGCGAAATCGTGGGGAGCACCGGCTCAAGGGTCAGGGTAGCCAATCAAGTTCACCAGAAACGGAGTTATGGGCGATTTGTCAGAATCGCAGAAACAAGCGCCCTGTGGGGACAGGCCTGGGTTCCCACAATGTCCATAATACCGTCGTTGATCCCGAGCTGGTAGCCGCAGAGCTCCAGTGTGACTGGATTGCTGCGATTTCCCTCTACTCCACCCGGAAACGATCTCGGTAAGCGGACGGCTGGACACGTGACCTTCCCCTCGGCAACCATCCATATCTCTGAACAACAGCTATGATGGTAGTTTAACCTGGTACTTACACCACAGATAACCCGAAATTATATGCCATGCTCTAGATGAAATACCCATGAGGTCTGGCACCTACTCTAATGTTGTTCCCTCGGTCTCTTTCCATGCCACTCCTCTTTCAAAAAGGAAACCTACATTCATGGATGGTCATAACAACAGCATTAGATGGCTCAAGTCTTATTCTACAATAACACCACCGTCATGGTTGAATGGTCGTTATTTTTTTAGCTCAAAGCTACCAGGTTTCCGACAGTTTAATCTTGAAGAATATATTAACGCCTAAGGCAACAACGACAAAAATAGATTAGGTTGGGTAAAAGTTGTACCGTTCCGAACTATATCCATGAACTACATGTGTAGAGGAAAAAGGACATATGAGGACTGAATACATAATATGCATTTGTGAGCTATGTATAATAAGTGGTACTAGACAATTCATTTACCTTACTATCCCTTATAGATAATATGTAATCAAATCTTGGGAGATTTTGTAATATCCTTACTATTACTGTAGTGTGACGGGTGGTCACAACACATAAAATGCGTTATGCTAGTCGTGAGCTCACACATTGTTGGTAGTTCTATTTATTTATTTTGTAGTGGGCTCTCATAGGTGTGGGTGTGTATGAATCATTGTGATATTGCAATAGGCTTGTCCAGGTAGTCCAGGTCAAGCCCCCCTGTTATGGAGATGTGCTCTCATAGCATGTCGTCTTTTTAGGGTTGACTCACACTACTAGGATGATGTGGTAAATAGGCGTTTGATTGGTCGCTCCATTACCAACCTCCTTGATTATGAATATTAAATTATTTTCTTTTTTGTTTGATCATTCATTGTTTATTCCTATGTACTTTCTTTGTTCCAATATTCTTTCTCTATGTCCATTCTCTTTGTTTCCATTATTTTTGAGACATTGCCAGCCACCTTATTGAACTAGTCCTATTGTTGCAGACCAATATACTCTTTTCGGCCGCAAAGAATGACCTCGGTTTTGATACTATGCTTTATTGGGAGGTCATGAATAAAAATTAAATAGCTATTGTGACGAGACATGGTGTCGCCCTAGGACTCGACAACAGCGCTGCATAAATATCCTCTTCTTCCAATAATATTTCTTCTTTCCTTCCCATACTTCTTGATATTTTATGCTTCTGTTTCTCGGGCTTCTGCGTTCACCTTTCTGCAATTGCAACTTTGACTTCGAACAGCACCTTGACAGTAACTGCAACAATGTCTCAGTATCCACCGACTCGTCCCTGGGCAGCTCTTAGCGCCATTGACCGAGATCACGAGTCGGGACTCTTCTACGAAGATGATGTTCCTCACACCGCAAAGATGACTGTTAACATGAGTCAACCTGACTTCGAAGACCGGGGCCCCAGCATGGCTGAAAATCTTCGTGTTATTGCGGAACGCAGTGCAGCTCGTCGGAATGGAACTGCTATGAACAAGAACGATATGTAAGGTCCATCCTTACTAACTTGCTGAACGTGAAATCTAATATGATGAACAGGTTTTCCAAGCCATTGCCACCCATTCCTCAACAGGAAGCCCCCCAGTCGGCCGCCACAGTTGGTCAGGAGGGTGTTGTTCAAGGTTCTGGGGACAACATCGACAAGATGAGCATTCATTACGTGCTTGATAGATCCAACATGCATGGACGCCACGATCAATCCTCATTTGCTCAACGTGAAGCTTCTCAAATTGCTACTCAAGTTGGCCAGAAAGCAGTTGCCAATGGTTGTGTGCACTCAAGTGAGAAGATCAAACTGAATTTGCTTCTTGATGGATGCAAGCTGGAAGGATATGACGATGAGACTCCATCTATTCAACCCAGTGGATCTGAGCCGACCCTCCCACCCCTTTCGTATCACTCCTACAATACGCAAGCCACCTACGCCAACTCCTCCTCTGCTTACGGTTGCTTGGCTCGGGAATATGATGCTCTGTATGATGCTCCTGCATCCGAGACCCCTGGTTCTCAAGTCAATCCCAGCCCTTATCGCAACGGTGACAGTCCAACTTCGTGGTACGAATCTTCACCCACTTGCTACGAGTTTTCTCCGGGTCCTCAGATTGCATTGGTTCCCAACACTACCCCGGTGCACGAAATCAAGGAAGAAAATCAATTCGCAGACCTGGGGGCCACCATCGATGAGCTGCTTGCCTTGATCAACCCGGAAAAAGAATACTCACGCCTTGCGAATGACAATCACAGCCCAGAAAGTTCATCTTCTGCTTACCATTTCACTACCCCCAGCTCGGTGTCTACAGATATCTACCATGCGGATCAATACTCTAGCCTTGCTTACCAGGCTCCAGACTTCGTCATTCGTGATGCTGAGAGCCCTGCAAGCCCCGACACCATTCGTGGAGTCACACCTGCATCGCCAGCATGGTCCCCGCCATCCCCTTGTCCCAAGGGATGTTGCTATTGGTCTTCGGATGATGAAGCCACTGCATCTCCTGAACCTCAGTTCGATCGGGAATGGTCTGCTTCCGATGTGTCTCTGCAAGAGTCACCTATGTTGCCTTCTCTTCCTCATGTCGCTTCATATCCATCTTCTGAGCGTCGTGCCAGCTACCTAAAATGGAGAGAGGAGAGAGCGCACATGATTAGTGCCGAGGAGGCTCTTGTCCCACGGCAATTGAACGTGATGAAGAAGGCCACTTTCACCATGGATGTCCCTATCCACAACGTTTCCCAGCACCAGGCAGCCGTCCACACGTCTGATTCTACCGATGAGGGCCCTAGCCGCGCAGCTTCCTTCGTCAGCAATTATTCCGATGTCAGCAACACCATCAGCAGCGCAACTCTGAGTCCTGTCCCCCGCAGCCCTGATGTCTCCAGTTCTGAGGGCTCCGTGGACTCTCGTGGAATCAAGCGCAAGCGATTTACCAAGACCCTCTTTGGTAAGAAAGGATACCTTGATGACTACGAGGGGCGGCGCGACACGAGATTCCGCTTCTTTAAGGAGGCCATCGAAAGGGGACATTCAACCTTTGGCAATATTAAAGGAATGGTAAGTGCCTCCTGACTCATCTTTTGGAACTATGACGGGGACTAACAATCTTTTTTTTTGACAGTTTTGGGATGAGAATCGAGGTTTGATCAGCCCATCAACCAAACCCAGCATCGTCACTGAGAACACTGCTCCCATTACTCTGAACACCGAGGTACAGTCGATTCTGTACGCCGAGATTGAGGGCATGATCACCCACGCCGCCAACGAATTCCTGATGAAGGAGTACTATGACGGTCACCTCTCTACTAGTTCTCTCCAAAAGGTGAAAAGAAGATGGGAGAAGAAGCACATGCCTGGTGTCCCTGAATTCCGTTTCGACCAAGGTACCCAGTACCGCATTATCAGCGCAAACCGCGAGCATCTCAACTTCGGTCGACCCAGCAACGGCCTTGGCCGGAACACCGTTCTGGGTAACTGGAAGCGGATATGGAAGAATATGAGCATCCGCACCTTCGTGTCTCCCGATTCGGTTATCAAGAAGAACATCCACGATATCATGGATCTCCTGGAGCTTTTGAACGCCAGGGAAGGTCACCTTGAACTGCTTATGGCCCTCGATGCGCATGTTCGTGGACAGCTGCAGAAGCACGAGATGTTGCTGTACTACTGAGATACTCTCGCTCTTAACTTCGGCTTTGTCGATTTCAACAATTCATGTCTCTTTTTCGTTTTCCTCTGCTATTCTGTTTCGGCTGTTCTGTTCTAGGAGGTCATCAGTTTCGCTTCTTGCCAGTTTCGCTTTCGTTTTCGCTTTTACTATTTTTTCTTCTCTTTCTATGCGTTTTTTGCCAGCGATGAGATCAACCAATTCAGTCTAGCGTATTTCAAATCCAACATCCCAGATGAACCTTTTTTCTTTTCCTAGTAGACCAACTGGAAGTAAGCATCCCTAGGTAAGATATTGCAATGACATCACATGAACCGAAAGAGAATTGATAGCTAACGAATTCGACGCTGTCTTGAAGCGTGTTGGCTAGTATGGTACTATAAATAGTTGGAATATTGATGATAACGTACTGAGTCAATCAAATTAGACCACTCATCCCTTGGCAATTTGTCAGACGTTAGAGATTGAACTAATTTCCAAAGGATAATCTTAATTTAATATGTATTCCCAACATAACAGGTCAATTGAAGCGAAAGAGCACCGAAAAAGTGAAGTTGTACACAAAACACGTGGGGCGACGTCATCGGCTTATAGCACGGGTGCCACCTGGGCAGGCAGTCACCGCTCTGCTTTTGACAAAGTTCCTGAACCACTTCTTGTAAATAACCTTACCTTGCCGGTGTTTCGGACAGAACATGTTGTAGCTGTAACAGTCTGGCCCCCAATGACCGTCGATACATCCCGCGTTTAGCCTCCATCCATATCCGGGGGTGGAGATCGATACCAACTCGAACACAAGGGGTCAGCTCCGTACAATCCTCCCGAATGGCGGGCCCGATCCACACCTACGGTCCGAGTTGCCTGCTTGTGGATGAAGAGCCGGACCTCACCGAATTTCAATCGCTTCAATCACCACCAGAAATTCGGTCACATTTCTTCTACATCTCATCATTGCCGATTGACGATCCACTGGCTCCCCTGCCTCCACCTACAAGCCATGGGACCAGCAATGAGAGAGTTCCTCCCACGCCATTCTCGGCCAGGGATAACATCGCCTTAGAGGAAGCCTGGCGTGATCTACGGGAAGCGAGAAAGACTAAATCCGCGAACCACAGATCCAGGCCAAATACATCGACAGGGACCCCCGGGATAGCTGTGCCCAGTCATGAATCGGTCTCAAATGTCGAACACCGCAAGGCAGCCAGCCAAGAGGATCCCTCGTTGGTTGGCAGTAGAGGAAGCACTCTGAGCAACCCTCCTTTCTTCCCGGACGATCTGCCCTCCCGCAGTCACAAGAGTTCCCTCACTTTTGCCACAGGCAGTACTGGAATGCGAATCCATGGACTTGGCAAGGAGAATCGCGTGGGCTCCGCATTGGGTGATGAGTTTAAACACGACACTCCCAGAGGAATTTCCATCGATCAGAAAAGAGTGCGATCGTCTTCGATCAATGAGTTCAATACACCCAAAACAAGCAGCTCTCCATTGGAGACTGAAAATGTGGGTGAAGGCGACGAGGTGGTTGGAAGTCTACAGGCTGATCGTTCTCACGATGCAAGCATGAGTGGCTCTCCCTTTATACGGGCGCCGGTGTCTCAGCCTCAGACGCCGCTTGGTCGCTCATTTGAGTCATCTTCATCAAGAGAAGGAGGCGAATGGCAGGCGGAACTTCGGCCCAGTACTGCTCCACGAAGTGCCCCGAAACCTTCGGGCCTGAGAACGACCGTCAGCCTGGATCAATTGACCCAGGACTCGGAGAGGGAGATGACAGAGGAGCCGAACAAACAGTCAAAGATTCCAGTCGGTGTCTCACGGCTTCATCTAGTCGAGTTACCAAATCTCAAGGTGAGTACAATTTCTACAATTTCTTTACTCGGCTCTGGCTTACAGTAACGCTTTTTTTATAGATGAAACCTATCTACTGGAGTCCTCTTCAGGACATATCAAGTGTGGTCCGAGCTACGTGGTTCTACAAGAATACCATGTTGCCTGTTGAGACTGAACTTGCGAACAAATTGGAGGCAGGCTACGTTTACTTGAAGCCATGGAGTGACACTTGGCAAGATGAATTAAATAGTTGCGTGGAAAATGGGGCCGATGCCGAGTTGAAAATTGTTCACCCGCTGTGGACAAAACAGGATAGTCAGCCTTCAACTGCACAAGTGCCACAGAGTAGTGATTCGCCTCTGGATGAGGCGGAGGATCCCTTGAGATTCGACAATAATCGAGCTGCTGGTGGCACGTCTATTCAATCTGAGACTATCAAGTCATACCTTACATCAAGTGCCATCTATGTCGATGCAAAAAATGCCCAAGTACTTCGGCCCAGCTTACTTCCCTCAGTGTCAAGGGGACGACGACCTCTTAGTGCAATAAGGAAAGGCCATCAGATAGGCATACCTGTGGTTCGCGGCTTTAGTCGAAAATCATGGGAACACCTGCACCCGTCAAAATCCAATCCTATTGATGTGCGCCATTACATCCGCAAGACCCAGTCGAAAAGTCCTTCTGCGCAAGGTGAACAAATATGCTATGCATGCAAGATGGAAGAATCGCGACCATCTCCAACAGATTTGGTTCTTGTTATCCATGGCATCGGGCAGAAGTTATCAGAGAGGATGGAAAGCTTCCACTTTACTCATGCCATCAATGCATTTCGGCGAGAGGTGAACATGGAGCTCAACAACGAACCTGTTTGGCCGCATGTGCGTCAAGATCATGGGGGAATTATGGTTCTTCCTGTGAATTGGCGCACGAACTTGTCGTTGGATGACCCCGATGTTGAGTCAGGTATCGAAGACCCAGCTAGCAACAACTTTTCTCTTGCAGATATCACACCCCAGACTCTGCCCGCTATTCGATCCTTGATCAGCGATGTGATGCTTGACATTCCTTACTATTTGTCGCACCATAAACCGAAGATGGTCAAGGCGGTGATTAGAGAAGCGAACCGTGTGTATCGCCTCTGGTGTAAAAACAACCCAGGGTTCCAAGACTCCGGCCGCGTACATCTCATCGCTCATTCTCTCGGAAGCGTGATGGCTGTAGACATTCTCAGCTATCAGCCAACACATGTTCCTCAGTTTGACTTCTCTAATACGGCTTTACGCAGCGACATTTTTGAGTTCGATACTGGACATCTCTTCCTCTGCGGAAGTCCAGTCGGCTTCTTTCTGCTTCTCAATAAGGGTATGTTGAAACCTACATCATTCCGCCTTGTATCTAACATTATCCCAGCTAGCCTTCTTCCCCGAAAAGGCAGAGACAAGCCAGGTAGCGAAGGTGACGATCTACTTCGTGGGGTTGCCGGCGAAGCAGGTCAATACGGCTGTCTCGCCGTAGATAATCTCTACAATATCATGCACACAACGGACCGTAAGTAGATTGCACAGCCTCTTCGCTTCTTATACTAACCATCTCTACCAGCAATTGCGTACCGAGTCAATGCAACAGTAGACTCAGGCCTTTCCAACTCTCTCAAAATGGGCACTATCCCCAGCTCCACCGCCAGCTTCTGGCAATCATTTGGAAGCGTCTTTCGCTGGAACTCGAACCCGTCAACATTATTGCCCTCCACAGCTCCTGCCCGCCCCGCAGCAGTATCCAAGCTGCCATCCAATGTCGAGCTCGAGACCCACGACTTCACTCGCGAAGAGATCGCTGAAAAACGCATGCTTCTGCTAAATGACAACGGTCAAATCGATTATTATCTCTCAGGTGGTGGTGGCCCTTTGAATATACAGTACCTCAACATGCTGAGTGCGCATAGCAGTTACTGGACCTTGGGTGATTTTGTGCGGTTCTTGGTTGTGGAGATTGCGAGAAAGCAGGGGAGAGAAGGAACGCTGCTTGCCTTTCGGGCTGAGAAGAAGAAGGGATGGAAGTATTCAAAGGGTTGATTCTTTTTTGGGCCTTTACCTTCGGTTTGATTTTTATTTTGTGCTCTGGGGATAGAATATGTACCCTAGGTGATTGTGATATTCACATAGAGACAAGCATACATGACTTCAGATGTCGTTCCCTGTAAGCCCACAACGTACTTGTATTTTATTAAAGATTGAAACTTGGTTGTTGACGGTGTATTGTCTGATCGAAAAAAAGATCGAAAAGTTTCGAAGCAGGACAGAAAGGCAAGAAATGTGCAAAGCTTGAGGACAGACAGATAAGAAACAACACAGGCACCAGGAGATTTAAGCTCCGTCTGGGTGTAAATCATATATCGTATCAGGTCTCTAGCAAATGACCCGGGTGTCTGAGCCATGAACATTCCCCATCAACAAAGCCTCCACGATCTCACCCTTGATACCAACGCCCCGCCCAGCCCTCAACACCACCAAGGCATTCGCTTTGGCCAAACTGCCGACCTTCGAAGACCGCTGTCCGGCACCCTCCACTCCCGTGCTCGTCGCGTACAGCCGTCCATCCGAGCGCGACGCCGTAACCACAGCGCGGTGGTACTCCGTGCGCACGGGATCACGCGGGAAGTTATGCGTTAGGACGACAGCAACAAGCGGAAGACCGAGCTGCGGCGCGAGCCAAGGCTTAGAGCTGAGTGCCCCGGAGCTGTGGCCCAGGCCGGTGAGTTTATGCAGCGAAGGGAGAACAAACAGGTTGAGGGTGACAAGGGCGGAGGCTGGATTTCCGGGGAGCGAGAAGATGAGTTTTGATTGACGCTCCTGTTGAGAGGATGTGGCGTCGCCGATTGGTTTGAAGGGGACAGTTGCGAAGGTGGTTGGTTTGCCCGGTTTCATGGAAACGCGGCCGAAGTGGATGGTGCCGCCGAGAGAGCGCTCGATTGTCGGCTTGAGGAGGTCGAGCTCGCCCATTGAGACGCCGCCGGTTGTGATTATCACGTCGACGCTGGAGGAGGCTCGGCCTACGCCGCGGAGTGAGTCGCGGAGGGCATGCTCGAGCTCGCTAGCAGGTGTGTCGCGAGCGATACCGAGATCGACGGTTTCGAAGCCCCATGAGTTCAGACATGAGAGAAGAGATGGGCGGTTAGA